GATAATAGAAAAAGTGTGCAGAGTAATCAATTTAACTGCACTTAGATCATATGGTCTTTACTCATACATGTGACTTTGTTCAAAAATGCTCTGCATGTGACTTTTTTCATGTCGTAGAAACTTCAGGAACCCTACTGCATGGTACAACTCGTTAGCCTGTCAGAGTTATAATTTAAGTAATGGCTGAATGCTATTCATTTGTATTTCAAAGCAGATTAATACTATATTCTTGTCAAGCTTTATCAACGTGAGATATATGATTTAAAATCATCTATGCCCAGTAATACCTAATAAGTCATTTTATGTGTGTATGCTTTGGTTTTAAATTTCTAACTGTATTCCTTCTATTAATGTCACACCTGAAGAAAGCTACTCCGTCAAAATGTTGTATCTGTTCCTTTCAGTATGGAACAAACCTTTACCTGTTCTATTAAATTCATTGTGCCATTTTCAGTAGACATCTAATTACAGTATATACTGTATAATGCATTTTTGAAACAATTTGTGTTTAAAGTACACCCTGTTAATTCATTCCAGGGTTTCTTTTTTAGATTGTGAGAACTTTTCATCAGGAAATTTCCATAACCCATCATAATTGGTCATAAAAAGTGGTGCTACATGAGTTTTCCAATGTTTATAGATTATCTTTCTGTTTTGAAATCATAACAATGCTACTTAGAAATTTGGGGTATGCTCCAAAACTAATTAGTTGGCCTGACAATGTTACATTTTAACTCTCTTCTTGCTTTGGAATAAATAATAAAATACTTTGAGAATTCACTAAGGTTACACAATTACAAAGTGTGAGCTAGAAAAATCTCTTTTAAAACCACTAATGGCAACTTTTTTGTACTTTAGCATAATATTGAGTTTTGTTTTTGCACTTTAGCATAATATTTTGTTGTGTGCACTTGTTAAACTATAAATTAATCCCTTAACTGTTCTCGAAAAAGAAAGTTTCTACAGCATTCTACGACCTGGATTTTTCATTCTCAGGTTTTGTTTTTACCTTTTCTTTGCATTTTCTTGCTCAGTGATATTTTCAAAAATATATAGTTCTTTAATGAGCTATGTTTGCAGTTCAGTCTTCAGTTAGGTCACTTTTGTGGAATTATTTTTAATATTCAATTATAGGTAACGATGTTAAGTTATGTCTTCAACTCAAAGTAGTGGTTTATTCATGTCTAAGGACTCCACTTACCCCTCACAGATGTGAGGTAATGTCCATAATAATAAACCAAATTAGAGGTTATGAACCAAATGTATTGTCTCTAATTTTATGTGCTGAGAGAGGGAAAACCTGCTGTTCTGCAACTTAGTTTCCACCTGACAAAGGTAAATGCAATAAGAGATTTTGAAAAACCTGTGTAATGTAGACATCTCTCAGAGTTACAGAGTTTTCCTACTGTACGAGACTGGACTGGAAAATTCCCACACTGGTAGTTGTGTAAACAGCAGACAATGTGCACAGATGAGACAATCCATAACAGAAACCTAGTCACCTGTATCAAGTTAAAGGCATATGGAGAAGTTAGAGGTTTGTGTTCAGTTGTAGGCTTAAAGATAAAAAAAATGACATCTAGACTTGAGTTTTAACCAGAAAAACTCACAAATGGACATTTTCTGATGTTGTATAATGCAAAATTAGAAATTAATACAATTCTGTTAGATTTATGCTTGCATGCAGACATAGTGCTAGACTGGACCCTAGCTGATAGACAGTTCTTAGCATGTTCGTATTTGTGGCAAAATGTACAGTATATACAGTATATTATTGTGAAATGGTGATAAAGAACCATCTTCAGAGATGTGGGTTTTCTGGGAGATTCAGGTGTTATCTTTGTTTAAACTTTGATACATGACCAGCATAACAAAAGCTTATTTTTATATTAACAACAAAAACACTTAACAAATACCGTATATTTTGATAAGATGATTATGTATCTTGTTCTATTTTTTTATCTATATTTTGAGGTATGGGTACCTCTTTGGAACACCATTGGAAATAAACACGGTATAGACAAGTCACTTCTTGGTAATTAATTAACATAATACCTTGAACTGAAAGACTTAATGTACATGTTAATTGTTTTTCAATATCCTGGATGTAACTTGCACCAAGTACGTCTTACCTGACAGTGCTGGCAAGAAATTTAGCACAGTGCACAAGATATGTTGGAGGGTTTATAGAATATATGTATTATTAATATCATGTCCTATAAGCCCATCTACTCCCAAAGCCACAAAAAATGAAACCCCTTCAGAAGAATTTTATATTAATAGAGAAAGAGACCAAATTTAATGCTTAACATTTTTGATTACATGCATTTTGATATTATAAAAAAAACCTACCAGAAATGCAAAACCACTAGAATAGGTAAAAATATAAAAACAACAGTATAGTGTCTGACTGCCCTTACAAATGAAACAAGGTTATGTTTTATCAACGGTGAACTACTGTATGCCTAGTTGTGTTATGGGAAAATTAAGTAAATTAGAATTAGCCCCTAGACACATTTATTACTGCTGAGGTGCTGCATATCTCTTGCAATACCTCAGTTTATCACTGTGACAGTTTACTGTTTACTGTGATACAGTAGGCCTTTTGAAATCTTCGTAGCACTGGGGCAATCAATTAACAGTCACAAACATTTAATGGTCGCCGATCTTCAATGATTTATGTATCAAAGGAGAGAGGAAAATTCAATGTGACAAGTTCCAGTCTCCAGAGTCATAGCAAAGGATAAATGTTTGCGTAAATGAGCCTTGCCCGGGGGTCACATTTGGATATAGAGTTCAAACAGCTTGACTATTCATGCCAGAGGTGGGAAGATTTTCATGAAGGCTTAAAGCCTGTCTGATCAAATGGATCGTAGCAGAAGGATATTTTTTTTCGGAAAGTTATTTAAAAATAATGTCTCTGTCTTGAAGATTCTCTGTTTGTTGATTCTACTGTGTGTCTCCCCTTGTTGCGTGTACTGTGCCACAGGTTTTGCTGGGTCATGCACGTAAATGTTGTTTTTATGTGATGTAATGCTGGTGAGTGTGATGGGTGTGTGCCCTTACAATTATCACTTCGCTGACTTCTGTAGAAATGTTCTAATAGGTTACTATAGAGAACTGGGACAATTCTAAACCGGCTATACTGTAGGCCATCCATTGCTTACTTCATAAGGGTGTTCACACTTAGCAAACGATCTTTGGACTAGGAATTTCAAGAGACAAACAGAGCTGTGAAGTACAGTACAGTTTAATGTGCTTCATGCAAATGTCTTAAAAGAGTTTTTTAAATATTTATTCCCTGTAGTCTGTCCTTCAGTTCGCCTACATTGTACTACAATTGATGATCACCATTCTCCACATAAATGCCATTACACTAGCGCGCTAGGTGGATTTCTTTCGGAAAGGTGAACGTGTGTCTGCAAGCATGAACCGCTAACCCGTGTGTGAATACACGCTGAAGACTACTGCACTGAACGTTTACAATGCGTTTTGGAGAGCGTGTAGCTCCGGCAGGACCAGAATAGTTGCTTGTCCTTGTACTCGGAGAGATGATACCGGCGGCGGCGGAGCTCCGGCAGGAGGCGGGACTTGACGCGGGGTCACATGAGAGTCAGCGACGCCATGTCAGTGCGGAGCTGCGGGGCAGGGAGACCGGGAAGCGGTCAGTAAGACGTAAGAAGAGGCGATAGCACCGTCTGACGTTCACGCCGGTCCCCGATACAGGTGAGGCTCAGGTATCTCTGGGGGCTGCCCTGAAACTCGTAACGTGTCATGATCTGATTTCTGCCCGGGCAGCGTCACTGTTTTAATCGCGGCGAGGAATAGGCAGCTATAGTCATCTGGAGGTGGAAGAAAAGTGGCAGAGAAGCAGGCCAGGGTGAGAAACTTACTCAACTGTTTATTTCATAATAATGAATACTAAAAGCTTCACTTGGTTGCCCGCCTTGAAAATATTGTACTGTTTCTCTTAATGCATGATCTGCTAGTTGCTTTTTAGTGACGTAGCAGAGAGGCAGTTTGGTTTGTTTACGCTGAATTAAAACTTAATTTCTGCTGCGCGGTGCAGCAGATTCGTGTGTTTCTAGCTGTATTTTTAATTCAGCGACAACATTGCAATCTTGAAAACGTTTCTGTCGTTTACGAGTGAGCATCAGCGCACAGATCGCCTGTCTAGTGCGGGCCTTGATATTAACAGACGTCCAGTTTTGTTTTCTATATTGTCTTTGTCTGCTTTTGTTTATACGGGCAGTTTCCAGGTGACCTGCTCGGTACAGTATATAATAAGTTAAGTGAACTACACGTACAGAAGACGCTAGTCTGGATATCCCTCTGATACTCGCCTCTCATGACTCCAGGCTTGTGCAGTATTTAACTGTAAAAATGCCAGCTTCCTGGTGGAGTACTTATCAGGAAACACCCCGTAGAAAGAAATATGAAAAACGTTTATATCGGTATTAACATGTACATAGACCCTACTACTCTGTGAGTCTAGGGCGATTTTTATGCTACGAAATTGTTTAACATCAGTTCCTAATACAAAAATTTCTTAGGCGCAGAAGCTGGGAAGAAGAATTAGGTTTTATATCATAAGTAGATCAGTACAATGTATAATTCTGTACCAATATTTAGAAAGAAACTCTTTTTGTAATGGTGTTAGATCAATTACTTGGAACTGGCCACAGTTGGTTTATTTATTTATAGTAAAAGTTATAATTTACTATAAATACTCAGTTTACCTGTAATAAATGCAACCGTTTTTTTTTAAGTTACTGTCGGTGTTGTGAACATGCACGATCAGGTACCGTATTGAGCTTGAGGGGTTGGGGGACACGAGTTTTTACTTTTTCGTGGGAGACGTATAGAAATCTGCGATCTTGTGACTTGGGAGCGAGTCCTATCTATTGCTGCTGGTCGCGGAGCACATGATTCAAGACACAAACAGAGGGGGTTTCCGAAAAATGAGCGCTGCGGGGCGCCGAGATTTATTTGTGATGTCTCAGGCTTGGCCCTGCAGAAATTGTTACTTTCATGAGAAGGTATTCGTGGGAGATCCTGGAAGGAACTGTGGGTGATGCTAGCAGACAAATGTGGCTGAACGAGAACGATTAAAATCAGGTTTTGTTTGCAGAAAATTGACTCTTTTTAAAGAAAATATGTGAAGTTCTCAACTATTAAATGCCAAAAGTAGATGTATTTTTTTTAACTAATCTACTTATAGCAGATGGTCGTTTGGAAAATTTGAAAGTTATTTTTTTTCAGACTTTTAGCTCCATGAGAGCCACTTCAAGCTCTTTAAACATTTCCTAGACCAAACAAGTATTAAAGTTAAAATGTGGGGTGTTTTTCTACATTTGTTTCTTTTAGTGGCCTATCTATTGTTGCATACATGCTATCAAATTGTGATTTGATAGCATGTATTTAGGACTGTATGATTTGGATTCGTTGTTTCAGAACATTCTGGAAACTGTGACTTTGTAAGCATGCATGTGGTTAGTTCAGTGGTGATCTGAAAAATAAGGTCAATATACAACTGTGGTAAGATACTCCTCAACTAACGAAAGCAAACAACATTTCGCATCACTTTGTATATCAACTCTGCACAACATGGGATTAGGGTTATGAGACAAATAATACACACTTTCCCCACATTAAATGTAAGCTCTTCAGAGACTGGATAAAGACATGCTTTAAATGCATTTGAAAAACTGTCGTTAGAGGTTTTACTCCAGGTCAGTTCAGGCAACATAAACTAATAGTTGGTGTATATTGTATGAAGGCAATACTGGTGGTTTTGCAGCCTCAATGTGATCTACTGTTTTTCAACACATCAGATTCATATCTTACATGCTAAACTGTAAGATATAAACAATAGAATGAGAATCATCTATTTTGCCAAGATGTATTTTCTTACCAAGAAGATATTATATAAGATATATAAAAATATATTCTTAACAAAAGGGCGTTTTTATATTTATATATTTTTTTTTACTATGCAAAGGGTTAGAATGATTTGTCTGAATTGTCCTGAAACATTGTAAAATCACTTAAAGCATAACATCCTTTTTATTTTTCAGTAATAGTTTTTTACACTGCAGTTCACGCTCCTGGAAAAAATCCTTGTTTGATACAGATTTAAATACTTCTGTTACCAACTGGAAGCCCAGCAGGCTGGGAACTGTGAATCCACCTGGGAGTCTGGGAGTGTCTCCCTGAGGCCCAGGAGAAATGTGAAACTGCAGGTGGGAATTGGGACAGCATCATAAAAAGTGGGCCAGGTTCTTTCCAGATCCATTTTAAGGATGCCGTTGCGTGCACTGGAAAAAACAGGGCTGTTTTATATTTAGAGGCATTTTCGAATTACTGTCGGATGCGTTGCACTTGCTTTAAAGGCCTTGAGGAAGATACAGTATGCCAGGCATATTCAGTTATGTAGTGCATTGTCTCTGGACCCAGTTTTAGAGATCCCTATTCACTTTTCTATATATTTATAGAAGTGATTCTTCAAGATCATGTTCATCTCCACTACCCAAACATGTGTTTAAGTTGAAGCTTACAGTAGTTGAAATAAAAACCATATCCTGTGGCTCTACAGAACTTAATACGTTTGTATATTGCAGAGGGACCATTGCATTAATTTGATTTTTCAATAACATCAACTTTGTATATAGGATATTTGAATTGGAGCCCTTTACTTATAATGTATTAGGCTGCAATCCAAATTTGAATTTTTGGGGGAGGTAAACTAAGGATTCCTTTCTAGTCTGTCTTATCGAAACGTTTCATGAATGGAATATTTCCCTCTGTTCTGATAGTGCCCTTAGCAAGAAGACCCCATTGACAGTGATCCAAAGCACAAGAGCAGTGAATGTTTCCTTGTTAGACATGGAACAATATGTACTGTACCACTGTAATGTGGCAAGAGTTCAGTATTAGTCGGGGAACGGCACGGAGATATATAGACCCTCTTAGAAACTAGTTATTCTGAACTTGCAGTGCAATCCGGTTAAAGAACTGCAATCGGACAGTGTGATTTTATGTATATGACACATCGTGATATTCTATCGTCATAATATCAAGCAAAATATTAACGTGATGTGGGTTTTGGAACATTCTTTTGTATCTTTCTTCTTGCATATTCCTCTGATTGTTGCAACCATATTTTGTGCCCTTTCCAAAAGAAAGTATGAGGAAACATTGTTATGTTTTTGTGGGATGCCCAGTAAAACACTGCTGCTGTCTGTGCCTGTCCCAGACCTTACTGAAAGAGATCTAAAGCTTCCTTATCAATATTTTGAGATGTGACCCCTCAGAAATGCCACACCCAGTTACAATAATGTTGAATCTAGACCTAAAATAAGCATTGATTACAATATTGTGAAGTATAGTGTCTTTTGCAACTAAAAGATGGTAGTATTTGTTAAGTGTATTGCCACCAATTACAGGGATATGAAATGATATGCACCAAAGAACACACTTGGACTTGATCCATTTTGCGCATTAGCTAATTTAGTAGCTAAAAGGAATGTAAAAGTTAGTTTCTGGCCAACCAGCATTTGGGCCTCAGTCACCTGGCTTGGAAACCAGTATTTCCTGTTCTCCATCCTTAATTAATTCCCTTTTAGTTTTCTGTGGTGACACTCTTAGGACAGCATCCCTGTGTAACTACTGAGTCTGAAAAAGAACCCTTATATGATCCTGTCAGAATTTTTTATGGATTTTTTATTTGCTATTACTTGTTTGTTGGACATTCTTTAACAAGGAGACTCAAACTCTTGTAGCATTATTTAATCAAAGAAGTATACAAGAAGACAGCTTCAGTGTTTACAGAATTAGTGGTACTATATAGATGATAAAATCTAAGGGTTAATGGATGTAATGTATATCTAAAACTGTAACAATCAAAACCACTGCATTTATTAATGCATGCTGTGTATTATGGGAATCCAGGTAATATGATGGTGTGTTATAAGGAATAGGAGTTAAAAATGCTTCTAAATGGGATGGCCTTTAAACAGTTGATGGAATGTGGATGGAAACATCTCTGAAGTAGGAACTTTGATCAAGCCTAGAATTAGAAATACAATATCCTGCAAATGCAGTTTGTTGCTTGGTATTTATGAAACATGCATGTATTAATCGTGTCTACTTCCTGTTACCAGTAGTTCGTTTGTCTGTGGTATTGAGAACCCCTGTTGCTTCAATCTCTCTTCCTCCTACGCTTTCTTTTCTCCTCTGCTCTTGGGTAACCCCCTTTTTCCCTGCAACAGCAGGCCTGCACGTAAGTGTGGTTGGTTGGCTTGAACAATTTCAGTTCCTAAGGTCAAAAACTATCTGGTCTCCACTAGGCTTGAAAGTCCAATACCTCTGCACTTGTTGTCTGCAGATATAGTTAGATGTCTCACTTGTACAGACATCCAAAAAAATTCAGCATCCAGAATGGTTTCCAACATGGACACTATGGATAATCGGTACAGCTACGGTACAGATTTCAGTACATTATATTATTGGTGAAAATTTAATAAGAAGTACTACAGAACCCTGTGGTACTCTGCTAATTCAGTCACCCCAATTTCGCAGTTCGTTCCTTATCTGTTCAGAGTTTTTACAAAAAGAGTAAAGAATGTTGAGTTGTACCATTTGTTGATAAAGGAAAGGAGGTTGTTATATACCTTTTTCATTGCTTTCTCTATTTTGGCTGTGATCTATAGCACAATAATGCAGATCTCTCATTGCCTCTATGAAAGTCTGATATCTAAGGGGAAAGTGGAGCAGTGTTGAAGGGACATGTCCATTTCTTTAAGCAAGTTTGATCTTTGTTTAGTATGTCAGATGTCTCTACATTGTTACTTTGGTTAGAAATAAGGGGTTATTTGAAAAGATGCAGTGTGATCTATAATAAGAAAAGACAAGCAATTAAACATTACAGCTTCAAGCCACTTAATTTTCTACACCTTAACACCTCTGGGCTGTTGTTGAACATGAAATCCCCTCCGTTACATTTTAATTTTGTTGCTAGAAAACTGGAATGTAAGAAGGAAATACGTTTAAAGAAAGCAGCCTGAATTTTGCATTTAAGATTTTATTCTCAATTAATAGGTACAGGGATGCTCAGCACTAATCTGACAAAATCATGTCTCGAAGGGTTTTATACATTGCATTCTTGTTGTGAACTGAACATACTCTTAAATTTATCCATTGCCAGTCACCAGTCAAGGACAGTTAAAACAATCAAGGACCTTAAAGTTAAACTTAAAAAAGTAACTTTTTATTTTTAAGCAGACCATGAGACTGACATTCAAGGTAAATGCTGAGCAGTGATAGCTCATGAGAGAGGTTAGAGATGAGAGGAGGACTCATCTTGCTTGCCTGTGTGCTTAATGGCCACGAACCCCATCAAGACACTTCCTGAATACCCCACTGACTCAGCATCCACAATGTGACTCTGCAGTTTCTCCCAGACACATGCTCTGTGTGTTTACAGAGAACCATTTCTAATTCTTAGTTTCACTGACGTTACATTTATAATTTTACATTCTATTACTATCAAAGGTATGGTGTAAAATATCATTCTTATCCATTACAAAAATCCAGAAAGGGAGGTCTTAAAATATGCAGAATTACAGTATAAACATAATTGAATTTTCCATTGCAAATTTGTTTTCAGCTATTCATTTTTTGTACTTGTATTTGGCCATCACACAGTTTCCAAATTTATTTGGGTTTCCTAATCGTAATTTTTCATAGACCAAATATCCGAGGAAGGAATACCAACGTTAAGCACAGCCCACAGGACCAAAGCCAGTGGACCTTGTGGTTTGGAGTAGATGGACCAGTTATGATTTTGATGTGCCCATGTTTAACAAGCCTGAGGAAGAACAACAGAAGTCTCAAACTGAGCCACTATTCCACAATAAGTTGACCAGAATGTTGCCATTGCAAACAGCCCCATTAACAAAAACTTACTTATTTTATCTTCTTCTTTGCCAGTTTTATTACAGAGGTTTTCTGTTGCATTACAAGATGCTAAGCTGTGTGGTAGATTCTGGAGTTGCATGGGTGTGCATTGATTGAGAGTGATGCGAATGAACCTTTGTACAGTTCCTGGCTCAAGCAGCTGACACAGGCGGTTTGTGGGTCTGGTTGCTTGTGACGAACAATATCCGCCTTTTCAGCAGTTTTGATCTGCTTAAGAGCAGAAAGTGCCAATACTGTAGTATTGATTCTTTGTACCTCTTGGCAGAGAAAAACAATGTTTCTTACGCCCATACAAAGCCATAATTTTCAGCCTCTTGATGAGATCTAAACTTGGAATTCTTTCAGATTGGCTCTGACTTTAGTGAAGGGCACCCCAGCGACAGTGTCCCAGTTTATTAAGCTATCACTTACTGTATATTATGATCATCTTATAAACATGTTTCATTCTACCGTGAGTATCTGTTTGCAGTGTGTGTATATAGGATCCCTGATAAATAGCTCAGATGCTCGATGTTGTCACCGTAACTTCAAGAAATGTGTCTGGCATTTATTTAAGGTAAAGATCTAGATTGTCATCTGTTCACAGGCAAGTAGTAGAAAACACGTAACTTAGAGAGCTCATTTGTGCGGAGAGATAATATGGGTGAGAAGGTGAAAGGTCTTAGATGGCTTTTGGTTGGCAGTGCAAGACTGGACTACAGCCAGAAACTGGTAAGTGCAAAGAATGTTTTGAAGAGATGTTTTATATATAGAGTTAGACATTCCCGGGTCTTGCTGCTATGATCAAGACTATCATTTTGATGTTTCTTCCACTTTTTAGTACTTATTATTTTTAGTACGTACTGTAGCCTTGCGTTGTGTTCACTGACGGTGTGAAAAATATTTTGCTTTGCAATACAGTTATTACTGTCAAAATTGTCAGCTTTACTACAGATGTATATATTTTTTTGCTTGCAAAACTGCTTTTTGGTCATTTCCAAACAGTGTATTTAAAAACCACAGTGAAGGTATAGCAGACCATTATTTGTCTCTAACAAACAAACATAGAGAATAGAGGAATGCCACCTTTTCCTTTCTGAAAATTACTTGCATGTTACTAAAATAATAGGCCTGAACTATTCTGTTTACAAGACAAAAAAAACTGTTCTGTTCCCTGCATTTAGCAACTTCATGCCAGATCTATGTCTTTTTAAAATCAGATATTTAAAATAGATGAAGCTAACCATCAGTGTGAGGGTAACTGCACACTAGATGGAAAATGATGAAAAATATAATTATATTTTCCACATATGTAGTATCTGGACCTGACTTTGGTGGCCGGTAGCTAAAATGATAAATGCAGAACTCTGAGATTATACAGTACTTAAACACATTTTATCTTCTTAAGATGGGAAATTAATAAAATTGCCAGATAATGAGTTAAATTTGATCTTCCAATTTTCTCTTATGTGGCTTAACACTAACATTGAAAATATAGGCTGATAGTAAATATTATTTGAGTAATTTCCTTTTATGGTGTTAATTTTTGTGACTTTGGCTGTCATTGAGATTTGAAATGGAAATGCTGTAGTCACGTATGTTACCGTCCGTCTCTTCTGTTGATTTTAATTATTTTATCTGCTTCTTTATTTGCATCAGTATCTGTTATACAGTCTATTAATGACATTAATTTGTTATGCACACCGGAACTGAAAACTAAAGTGTTAATTGTTTCCTTGTAGGTACTGAATGATGATTTACACTGAACAGTAAAGGTAAGGAATCATGACGTTTCTTTGTCCTTTATACATCTCAGTATTTCCTTTTATACATCTCATTATTTCTGTTATTGTCCTCATAATAACATAAATGTGATCAATTTAGAAATAATAAAAAAAGATAGAATAGTCAGTGTTTCCTAGGCCAGTGGTTTAATTGGCCCAAATCTAATTTTGTATACTGTCCAGTATGTCCAAGAGTCTCTAACAGTGGTTCTTGTCATAGTTTTAATTAAGATCACAGGGAGCTCTGTTTCTGGGGGCAGGAGTCATAAGCAAATTTCCTGTACAGCAGTGGTAAGTGCGGTTCTGTTCTTGCATAGCACAGCATTACAGCAATTACTCCTTTCAGAACTGTGGAACTAGAGGAATTTATTTACAGTATGTGAACTTCAGAGAAAGTCATATTCTTCCAGTGTTCAAAATCGGAATCAACAAAATCTGATTAAAGAGAAAAGAGCAGAGCAGCCCAAGAGCTGTGAACCTTTACAGCCAGCTTACATTTGGGTAAAATAAGACAAAAGCAAGATTACTTTTTTTTGTAGGCACCACTGAAGCCATTCGGGTTTTCTTTTGAGGAAAAAGCATAAATTGTGAATTCAAAAAAGTTAACCTTTACCAAAGTATTAGTTTTTCTGTCCTGGTTTCCATGAAGATGACTACAGTGTGTATGTTTGCACTCCAGCTTTATTACATCAAGAGTGTAACATAAAAGAAATTCAATGGTTATCTCTGCACACCTAGTAAATCAAATACCTACACAAACCTAAAAGTGTGTGAGAAACAATGGCTGTGGAAAACACTTTTGACTCATGCCTGTATTACTACATTTGCAACTATTTACAGAAGGTGTGAAATACAGAAACAGTGGTTTTTCTGTTATGCTAGTAACTATGATAAAAAATAAGGGAGTTTGAAGCTGTACTAATTCTTTTCAGCTTTCAGACTTGTATTATTTAAAGTGAAAACTAAAAGGATTAAATGAAAACATTCTGTAACATGTTCAAACATTTTTTTACTTGGTTTATAATTTCCTTCATATTGTAAAAAAATATTTTCCTCATAGTTGTCATCTCAGCTTAGTTGAGAACAGGTGAAGAATTCAATACATCTACTTAACTCTGTTGCTGTCAAATTCAGTTAAAGGGGAATTGAACTGAATTGTCATAACTACTCGTTTGATTTTTAATCTCCTGTATTTATCTCCGATAATAAATAACCAACTTCAACTTATTGTCTGAATCTACAATGAACTACAATGCTATTTTTATATTTGGGGGGTAGAAGGAATCAGCATTGATCAGTGCATTTCAAACCACAATGAAAATAAAATTTATAGAGTAACTTCCTCCAGCTTACACATCACAAGACAGAATTTCCAGGTATGTGTAGTGACATTGTTGTTGTTGTTGTCTGTGATTCAGAACGAGGCAACAAAACATCCAGTATGGTGATACGGAACTCTTGTAAACAAGCACGCTCTCTTTTAATCCAATAGAAATATTCCTCTTTTCAAGATGGTTTTGTCAAAAAATACTACTTGTTAACTCTCGAAAGAACACTTTGGAACATTACGTACGTCATGCAGTGACTAGTGAGAAGGAAGGGCCCCTTCACGTTGCAGTTTTGTGCAAACTCTTGCTCTTGCAACAGGGGAACCTTGCAGTGTTTTCACAAAGTTCACGATTTTGTGCTAAATTTGGAATGTCATATTTAGCAATACTCTCAATTCAATTATTTTATTACCGAGATTTAATAACCAGTCTGAGAAATTGGGTCTGCAGTTCCCCTTTAATCGGTCAACTCTGTGCTGCGAGCCAGTAGGATAAAAGGTCTCAGATCTAAAATACCATCCCAGGTCTGTTTTTCTGATTCTCATGTTTAGTTCCATATCCCCCGTTATGGGAAAGGTAGTCCTGGTGAGAGTTACAGCAGGCCTGAGTCTAGATCAGGACACAAGGTAGGACTGCTCCCTTAGATGGGATAGTGGTCTGTCAGGGGCAGGTACAGATAGTGAACCCAGGCGACATGCTTTTCAAAGGAAGGAAAAACAGACCAATAAAAGGAGATCATGCAGTTCCACACCACAGGCTTTCCTGTCCAGAATTGGAGCTTTGGACAATCTATTTAATGAGTAAATACATCTTTTATATGGTTTTGTTCTTCCCTTGTAGAGTTTCCTTACTGTTACTGCTCGAGAGCACAAGGCTGATATCTATTTTTTTCCTGTGGTTGTTTATGAAACGGAAAACACTTCTAATACAAATCGCATCTTCTCATCTTCCCTTCAGAAACATAAGAAAAGGTTTTCTAGATGAGCTCTGCTCTAGTAGCTCACCACATGCTGAGCTCTCGGGTTGACTTGTGCTGAGACTTTGGGTTCTTGAATGAAGGAGTGATTCAATGTAAACATGTGCCTATTTATTGCTGAGGTTTGAATAACATCTTGCAAGAGCATCATCCATGATGGGCGTTCTGACATTAATGAGCATTAAAGATGATAAATTTAGAGATGCGGCGCTCACAATTGACTGATTTTGTCTTGCAGGATATCCTGTGCTCGCAAACCAATCACCCTCAACCACAATGGCGTCGAAATCGTCGTTGCTCAAAGTCATCTTGCTGGGAGATGGCGGCGTCGGAAAGAGTTCCCTGATGAACCGCTACGTCACGAACAAATTCGATACCCATCTGTTCCACACTATTGGGGTGGAGTTCCTGAACAAAGATCTGGAGGTGGACGGACACTTTGTTACCATGCAGATCTGGGACACTGCTGGTCAGGAGAGGTTTCGAAGCCTGAGGACTCCCTTTTACCGAGGCTCTGACTGCTGCCTCCTCACGTTCAGTGTTGATGACAGCCAGAGCTTCCAGAACCTCGCAAACTGGAAGAAGGAGTTCATCTACTACGCTGACGTCAAGGAGCCTGACAGCTTCCCCTTCGTAGTTCTGGGCAACAAGGTAGATGTTACAGAGAGGCAGGTCACGACAGAGGAGGCCCAGCAGTGGTGCAGAGATGGCGGCAACCACCCATACTTTGAAACCAGCGCCAAGGACGCCACCAACGTAGCCGTGGCCTTCGAAGAGGCGGTCCGCAGAGTGTTGGCCACGGAGGACCGGACGGACCACCTTATCCCCACAGACACTGTGAACCTTCACAGGAAGCCCAAATCCAGCTCTTCCTGTTGTTGATTTCACACACGTCATTCACGTTCAGATGTAGAGACTTGGGCTTGATGTACAGGCTGCAAAAGCGTAGCCCCGTATGTTTGACGCTCGCATCAAAACGGCAGCAACAGTAACACGACTTGTGCTGCTGGCTGACATTCCATTGTGTAGATTATTGATAACCTTATCAATCATCATAATGGATTTTAACGAGGGTGCTATGAAGATTAGGTTTTTGACTAAAACTGCTGGACAACACTGTATAAGATTTAACTTTCTTTAAAAGGGGTATATGGATTTAAAAGGTGCCAAACCTAAAAAAATAATTCTTAGAATAAAATCTCAGTTGTTTTGACAAGTAAATGATATCTTCTGACAAATTTTTAATTTCTAAGACATCAGATGTACAAGTGAAACAACACTTGACATTAAAAGCTCTACTACTTGGGATTTTTCAGAAAGGAAGGTGCAAGTGACAGAATAACAGGTGGCAATGCAGCCTAATGTTCCTTAGTCAGAACTACTAATTTAATTTTTAACCACCTGTATTTATCTCCAATAATAAATAACCAACTTCAACTAATTGTCTGAATCTCTTTTTTTATAGACACGTAAAGTTAAAGAGCGTGAATTAAACATTTGATAGGAGAAGAGTGTATATTGACTGATTGGGAAATGTTTCAACAACAATATTATACGTTTTTATCAGATTTTCAAAAATGCAGATAACATTCACAGGACAAACATTTACATTCTTAAAGTGTATATTGTGTAAAGTAAGAGATGGGCCACTCCTACAGAGAAAGCTTTAAAAGGGAAAATGATCATATAACATTTTTTTTATTATGCATGGCCAATTTTTTTGTTACAAGACCACATAAAAGAATTATACACATATATTTCATTATTCTTGTTTTTGAAATAATGCTCCACTATAGAGACCAGATGTAAAAACCACAAATATCTGCAATATTGCGTAAGCCAATTTCCTGATGAAATTGTTTTAAACATTTACCAATACACAAGCATTTCCCAGTTTGAAGATGGGAACTATTAGTTGTTTTGGCTTACTGCTAACTGCTACAGCCAGTGAAAATGAGGACTGTATGGCCACCTGAGATGTGCAGGCTGAGATGTCCTGCTGCTTTTTCATGTGGTAAGCACTCTAGTCCCCCCAGGGGAGCGTCATTGTCTTGGTGCAGTCTTGCCTACAGGCCAAAGGAACCCACGCCTGATTCCTATGCATGAGTACTGGCATTGCTCAGGCACCTTTCATTCTTCATCTGACATGTAACACATTCACCTTTATGATGCATTTGATGCACTGTTTCTAATGCTTGCCTGTTGATGGAGTGTTTTATAAGCCAAGCCTATAATCTCATTCCTGTAACTTTCCAAGAGGGAAAGAAAATTGTACACATTCATCAGTTTTGTGACAGCTGGCCACAGCTTATGCATACACAACCAGGAAAGAACTGTTTTATTGAAATGTATCTTGAATGTGCTGTAATGCCACAACAATGTTGAATTTATTTTACATTGTATGCATTTTACCTCAAAATTAAATTCTACTTCACCTAAACACCACACTAACTAGCAGGTTCAAGACAGCCTTCCAACTTTTATGACGTAAAGCAATATACTTGTTTATTGCAATAGTAATGTTTATACACCTGATTATATTATTTAAAAATGTAACTTCATTACTATGAAGAAGAATTAACTACAATCAAATTATAATGATAATGAACAGAAGCCCTTTTCCTCAGATTTGAATTATTCCTCAGCCTCTAAAGTAATACTATAAATAAGATGGGATACATTCAGAAAGCATAAGAATTTAAGTCTCCTTCAAGACTGTTAAGCAGAAATAAACTTTATACAACACTGTATGAAACAATAAGATTGAATGGAATTATACTATAATCCAGTCACAAGTTTTTTGTGTGATGAATAATAGGATAATGAAAAAGGGAAGAACACTTTAGCAGTCACCTCGATAAAAATTCCACATTTCATATCGTTTTCTCCCTAACAAAATATTAATATTTTACAGCAAAATAAATAGTAGGTATAGTTTTACAAGCCAGAGTGACCAACATTAATATTCAGAGTATATAAGAGTGTCTTTATTATTATTATTCCTGGAGAGGTGGGCACAAGTTGTTTTACAGCAGCAGTGCTAGTGTTCAGACAGAAGGAAAAAAAAGATAGGAACAACAATATACATACATATTTACATTGAAGGTCAAGTGTTAAATAACGATATGGCTACATGTATGAATGAGAACTGGAATCTGTTGGTTTTGGAGTTGGGGAGTCGGTATCTGCATTCTGATGGGAGTAACTGGAAGTTGTTAAACAAGGGGTGTAAAGGATCATTGCAGATGGATTTTGCTTTACACAAAACACACAAATGATAGAGGGCCAGAAGATCAACACCAATGACCCTCTGACATATTTTCACAAGGCTGCCCAGTTTGTTCTTGCTTCTCAGATTCAGGTTGCCAAACCAGCAAATCAGGGTAAAAGTTAGAACAGATTCAGGGAAGGACCGGTCGAACAAAATCAACAAGGAATCATCGACCTTAAAATACTTAAGCTTCCTTAAGAAAAAAAGACACTGTTGACCTCTTCTGAGGATCAGGTCAGTACTATAATGTAATGATACAGCATAAGGGAAGACATACTAAGTACATTATCACATACAGGTATCCTCACACAAGCAAGACAATGTGTATTAGCACAAGAGTCTGTTAGTGCTGTAAATTGGCCTACAGGTAAAGTAAAAAAAATGAAGATGCTAATCAGAACAGTCAAAAAGTGGCACAACTAACTGGGTTCCCAAAATATATCCTTTACGTGGGTATTTACAATGTTCACTGCTTTGGATTCTGTATTTTTACTTTTCTTCATGTTAAAATGATTGCAAAGCACAAGTTCTCACAAAAAAGTCAAAGTATGTGAGAAATGTAAACCACAAAGTCTAAAGTAATTGTAAAACTTTTCCTGTGCCTTCACCCCTCATTAATATCCACTCTTGCTGCCTGGCTGACACAGTCTGCCTCCATGACAGAGCTGTGACAAAGTTTTGCAACATGGGCATATAGCAGCATGATAAGGGCACTGTGTTTCTGAATATGATTCCCCTCCTTCTTAGCCCATTTGTCCTCCAAACCATCACCAGTCTTGCGATAACGGGAATCAGGCAGACTCCTTAAAACACTGGCCAACACTGGATATGATTTTGAAGCCCTGACCCCTGTGTTCCCTGATGTAAAGCATGAGGGCTCGGCCTTGTAATGATATCATCGGCCTTAGATACAGTATCTACTTTCGTTATCATTGCTCATCTCTGCTTTGCACTAGAAAAGCCTAAAAACTCTGGCCATCTCTTGCTCTGCCAATGTTTCTGTGAAGCAGAAAATTGATTTCTAACTGACAGTCTCTAAAAAAAGGTAATTCCTTAAGTCGTGGTGCTATGGACTTCAGTGGCCTTAAGGTTTGATGAATAAGAGCTTCTCAGAGTGAAACCCATCAGGTGTGATTTCTTTTGGTGTTTCAAATTCCAGTTTATAGGTAGTCTCTTCACTGGACAAAAAAAGCTTTAAACCACTTCTATAGTAAAATTTTTCTGCAATAAAGTTTTTGGATATTGAAAATGAATACTTTTAATATGCATATCAGATGATAAGTACTGTTCATATTTAAATTCCTGTAGATTTGTGCAGGTCTTTTTAAAAAGTTTTATAAAACACTTTTTCATTCTCATTTACTTTTTAAACCTGCATTCTATTGAATTTATACTTATTTATTTAAAGGTTTTCTGAGATCCTGCCCAACAAAAGGTAAAAAAAAAGTCCCCAAATACACACAAAAAAGTTAACAGCTACCACATTAGAACATTTCAGGTTTTCAAAAAAAAAATGTTTTAATTAGAATAAATGTTCAGAGGAAAACTTCACTGAAATACCCACTTAAAGGAAAAGCATAAGGTGCATTTGGGGCTGCCACATGAGGTACATAAAGAGGTATAAACCACCTTAAATCAGAAACATTCAACAACTGTTGTGAATTCATAGCAGATTTACAGCAGGGCTGGATCCTCTCTTAACTCAGGAGGTGCTTCTTGCCAAGAAAGTGGACTTTTCGGTCAAAGGCTGTTGATCTGATCGGCGTGTTGGCTTCATAAAATGGGTTCATTGCAAACTAAAAAAAAAAAGGAACAAGTCTGTAATCAAGCTACTTTGGATAACATGCTCCCTGTGTCCCTTTATACTGTGACCTGTCTGCTTCATAAGTACTCCAATTCGGAGTCTCAGAACACATTCAATGAGATTTGAGAGAATTAATGTTAAACCCCTTTTTACTGAAATGCAGCTCACTGTTGTGTTAGATTGAAATCATTCCCTTAAAAGGCATAAGACCATTTGAAAGTTCAGAAGCAGCCAATAAATAAGACAAAAAAGGGATGTTTTTGAGACACTACTGGATCAATATGAGCTGGCATATTTACAGGAATGGCAATGTTTTTATACACAGTTCTAAAGTTCTAAGAAGGAAATTCCCAAACGATTAACAAAATCAGAAAACAATTGAAAAAAGATGAATGGGGACATTGACTTACTTTAATATACAAGTCATATACATCAGTAAAAAAGTTCTTTATCCCATCTTCCTGTCTTACATCATGGAGCATGATAAACCTCATATGTAGGAAATTAGTTAAGGAAGTAAAATCTTGAAAAAATATTTTTTCATGAAGTGAAACAATAACAATCGCACCTGATTTTGAAGAACTTGATTCTTTCTCGAAAAAACAATACATATTAATAGAAGGTTTCTGATAGTATAAATAAAACATTAGCAGACTAATTTTCTTATTACACCTTGATAAAAAAGAAAGCTACTAAAACATGCAGACAGATTTTCATGGATTACTCAAGCCCATATGGTAAAGGATATGCCCAGCTGTGACAAAGGCAGAGACGAACCACTCGTTGAACTTGTCAACCGTTTTCAGGTACATGTTGTTTGACAACCACATGTTTTCATCCACCAGGTCGAGAGCAGCATGAGCTATGAACTGGTTGAGGTGCCGATGGTCATCCTATAACACAAAAACACAAAAGCTGGTGCTTTCCAGAGTAAAGGACATTGTGCTGCACATACAGACAAGTAGCTTTCAAGCAAACTTTTATTTTTCATATGGACCAATCACATCATGACCTGAAGCAAACTCATATAATTGAAAGATACATAAGGATTTGCAGAAACCTGGCTTTGACGAGCTTCATGTGAAAATTAAATCTGTGACTTATCTTATGCAATTCTACAGCAGGTTTGGCTATTCTGAAATCACCTGATATTTTCCAAAACTGACATCTGGCTGTAGGCACTCGGTAGTCTTTAGTTAATTTGAACACATACAGTATAAATGCAAGATTATTAAAAAAAAGGAACACAATCTAGGGGAAACAATAGGAATACTCGGCCTGTGCAGCCTGTACTACCAGGGTGGCAGACAAGAACACACCTTTGATTCTGCTTTGCCAGCAGGAAGAAACTCCATTTCGAAGACTGGGTTGTCATGGTGACCAACAATGACGAAATAGAAACTTCCAGACATTTTTCTTCTCAATTCTGTAATTGCAAAAACAGTGCATTTGACTCCATACACAGCTAAATAACACATACAAGGTCCAGAAGTGCAAAAGCTGTCATAAATTTCTTGATGCTTGTTGTTTTCCACAATAAAAATTTAAATATTCAAGCAGACGTTGATCACTTCTTGTAAAGAACAGTTCACCATGACTTTGTAATTACCTAATGTACATTAACACATACAGTGGGCATAGTCTGAACCTTTCATCAAATCCATCTGAACCTTATCAAAACCACAGAACACAAAGTTAAGTTCATATACTTATACCTTTTTTTATAATTTTCTTAATTGAAACGTTCAATTATCATTAAGCAGTCACAACCACGATTTTGTTTATTGCGTGTAAGGACTTTTGCACTGTGCAGTTAATTTGATGCTAAGAACTTACATAAATAGGAAACTTAAATGTAACTAAACTAGAAGGTGAATTTATTTATTATTTAATAATACGTAGCACTATTATACTTTATTTGCATACCAGCCTACAGTACTAAATATTTTTTACTATATTAATAATATTTTCTGTCAAATAATTTTAAGTGTACGGTCATCTCTATAAATACCTCGTAATATGACTGTATTGTTCACATAATAAATTTCTACCTTCGCACATATATAATATAATCCACTAAGTAAACATCATAGCACTACAAAGAAGTAAATGAACTAATCAAAAGACAAATAGAGCCTTAAATGACAGCCTCGCCAGCTAATGCCATTGGATTCTTTAAAAGGAAAACTAAATTAGAGCATTTTACTACTGTTTAGCTGCGATGTGACATTTTGTACAATGCATGGCACCCGACTAGCACGACGACATGTCAGTGTTATGTTTTACTCTATGTCAGGCGACATCAAAATCAATAGTAATAATCGTGTTACATTTTAACTCTTGCCGCAAATCAAGCTGCAGTAACTGAGAGACAGACCTGAGAACTGGACCACTAGCACACAAACCTACAATATAATTTAAAAAAATGGGTGGTTTTTATTTTTATAAAAATATCATTTACAATAAATTGCGTGTAAACAATAAGCGAATTAACTTACCACCACTGTTTCTTTACTTCTCTTCGTGGGGAAACCTATAACCCCACCAACACAGTCGACGCGGACTGATGACGTCGCAAGCACGGGGTCCATTACATCAGAGGTAAAAGGCCAACAAAAACCACACATATGAAAACTCTTGGCTTGCAACAAGAGTTTGCCTTTTGGCAAAATATACAGCATCTTTGACCTCTTCTGTTCTGTTAAGTAACCAATCATGTTGCTCTAAGAGTAAGTTGGTTCGTTAACTGTACCGCCTAAAGGACCGCCTTAATTTCAAAGCACCTGTAAAAGCTTGTCGAGAGTCAGACGTCAGAGTGTGAACCAGGAAAGACACAAGGAGCGTCCGACGGTTACCAGGAGACAGGTAGCTTACTCATTTTTGTATTTAGAAAAATAGTTAATAAATCCAGGATTTGTACCGGTGCTTGTGTATTGCATTTGATTACAGCCATGTATGTAATGATTTATGTACTGAAATCGCGATCTGAAATAAAAGAATAAGGTTTGTTCTTCAACTTTTTGACATTTTGCGGAATTCCGTTTTATACTGTATGATTTCAGTTTTAAAACAGTACATATCGGGTAATCCACTTTTTAAGCTTTGACCTTAAACGCTGCATATAACGCCTAGAGAATGATGTAATAGGAAATATGATGGTTAACCTATGTAATTGGGACAAGTGATATGATATTGCATGATATTTGCAATTGAACTCAATAGTTTTACATCGTACAGTAATATAACCAATAACTTCAGATGATAAACTGCAGGAACTGTGATTAGACTGTCCAGAAAAGCGCGATGTAAGTGTAAGGAGTTGTTGTTGTTATTATTATTAGTCTTTGGCAGATTTTAATGAAGTTCTTTACAAGTGCTGTACTACGTGAAGGTTTTGGTCAGAGTCTAGACAACAAGTAGTCTGCTTCAAAGCCAAAAAATAAACTGTTTAGAAAAGGGTTGGGGCATCTTGTTCCGGAGAGAATGACAATCCTGCGAGTTTTATACCTTGGGAACGGGCGACCCCTTTGGCTTCTGGATTTTGTTGCAAATTAGTTCTTAATGGCAGGTTAATTGATTTATAATTAGGGTAGCCCAGTGATGCAGTGGCTAGTTAGTATTGCTGTCTCACAAAGCTGGGTTTTGTGTTTTTTGGTCAATTTCCTATGGAGTCAGCATGGAGTTTGTATATTCTCCCAGTATCTGCATGAGTTTCCTCCCACAGTCCAAAGACATGCTGGTACAGTAGGTTAATTGGGGTCTGGGAAAGTCTTGGTTGAGTGTGTGTGTTCGTGTCTGTCCTGTGATAGACTGGTGTTCTGTCCAGGGTGTACCTTACCCTTTGCTTGCTGTTGATTGTGTTCCAGCTTCCCAATTACTCTGTATTGGATAAAGCAGTATAAAGAAAATGGATTGATGATGTACAATTTGTAAGTTGTACACATTTGTACAATGTATAATTTGAGGTGTATTTTAAAAATGTACTTTCAGCATTGCAGAAAGCTGAATGGGATTTGTAATTGGTGTCGATGCTGCACCAGTTTCTGAGTTTCAGAATTTACCATATACAACTGTGTTGAATTGAATTGAACCTTTGCCAAAGGAAAAAAAAGCTAATTGTTAGAGTGTTTGATAGTGCAGTTGGTCATTCCTACAAATCTATTCATTGTACATTTGCCACATATTAAGAGCTGTTTAGCTATATAAAGGGGCAATCAGTTAATAACGAGCTTGACTGCTGTTAGGCTGTTCTGTAAGCTGATGTTGGAACAACAGATTGTGGGTATTTTTCAATCTGATGACAGAATACAGGAATGGCTAGACAGCAGAAAAACAGAACAGTCTCCCAGGACAAATAGTGTTCATTTAGCCATTTTCTAATGTTTTTCTGCCTGCAGGTTTAACATGTCTGCCGCTAAAGAAGATGTTATTTCACCTGATGAAATGAGAAAGAGGCTTTACCAGACGTTCAAGAACCGTGGTGTTTTAGATACTCTTAAGGTACGTGTAGGATTTTGTTTCGGAGGGGGTCAGGGGTGATTTAGTTCTTGGAAATTCAAAGGCCCAAATGCACTAAGACGGTCAACTATCTGGCCTTTCTCAACCATTAACATTTTCGTCTCAAAATGTGCCACCTTCTGAAGCTTATAGTCGCCTTCTTTTAAGTGCATATTTGAAATTATCTGACTGTTAAATAGATTGATTTAATTTTACAATAGGGAGACAGTCAGCTACAGAAAACGGTTGCCTAGACTATAAGAACTAATTATTAACAGACATATTTCAATTAACCAAAAAAAGATTTGCAGGTAGTTTTCAGGTAGTACATGTAACAAGCCCTGTCCCAAATTAATAAAAAATGAATGACAGGCTGCATGACAACATTTATGTCAACATATACAGTATTGCTCTGTGATACCATATTCTAATTTTTTTTTTTTGTGGGCATTCCTATCTAGACGCAGCTACGTAACCAGCTCATTCAGGAGCTAAAGCACCCTGTGCTGAGAGGAGAGGTTGCTCTGAAGCCAGTCCCTGTGGAAGCTGATTCTGTCTTGGTGCAAGCCTCCAACAGTCTGGTAGCAGATCACTTGCGCAACGTTGGATATGAGTACACTCTGTCTGTTTTCTACCCAGAATGTGGCCTGGAAAAAGACAAGGCAAGTATTTCAGAGTTATTTATTTTGTTCTTAATTTACTAATATTAAGTAGGAAGACAAATAGTATGGTGGACATGCATAACATGTTCGGCCAATACAGAAGTTGTACTGTAACTCCCAGTGGAGTGTCCATATTGTGTTCATCATGTCCTTAAAGATTTGACAACTGCCATACTGTACTGCCCATGTGAGTGCTACTGACTCTAATCCGAAAAAATGAAGAACCCCCAGAATCGCCAGTGCTGAAGATTTTTCTAAACTCGAATGTTAAACTGTGTTTTTTTTTAAATTGACAACTTTCTGCTTACAAACGTGAGATTAAGCCAGGTTTTAATTTATTGATTAGATTTTGTTTTTGCTTCCATTCTTCCACTGAAAAGGTGTTTTCCACTAGAGATCTTCTTCAGCTAATGAAAATCAGCCCTCGCTCAGCCCTGTACAAATCCCTGGTACGTCAGACTAATTGTTTACCATGAGTTATTAGTAATATATACCACAGATTAATTTTCTTCTTTATGGCTTTGTTCCATAGTTTTGACTTAATTGTTTTAATTACAGACTTCAAGTATGCAAAAAGATGGCACAAAAGGTATGTTAGCGCTACCATTATTTGTCTTTTATGTCAAATATGTTTTATGGTAATGTGATGGCAACATTTAAAAGTAGTTTTGGAACGATGAGGATTTCTTCAAGCTTTAATTACTGAAGGCAGGAGCTGAATTCTGTTAGTTAATAAATCTAGTCACACAATCCACAAAATCTGAAGAAAACCCTTCTCAGTTTTAAATATTTAACATATTCCACGTTGCTTCCTGCCACATGGGATTCATCTTGCTTCAATATTTCTATGCACAAATTGATCCATAATGCCATTTACATCATGTAGTTGCCCAGCTCCTAATGTAACTGTAATTACATAATACAATTTTAAAGTCCTTTTTGTACCCTGTACAGAATTTATCTTATTTCTCACAACTGACTTATAATATGGTTTTGAACCATCATGTCGAAGTCTTTCATTTATTAGTGCTATGCAAATAAACATTTTAGGGGGTAGTACCTGATATTGTATATTCCAGTAAAAAAAAGCAAAACAACATGTTATGTTTTTTTTATCTCTTTCAGGTTTTCTAATGAAGCTGCTTATTGAATTGACAGACCATCACTTGCACAGAGAGCGTTGTGATACAGACACCCAGACAGACTCCACCCCACAGTACAGAGAATCCCTAGGTACGCACTTTAGCTACATGTAGAAATGGCAAAATCGTAGAAAATACAATTAAATATTGTTGTTAACCAAATTATTTTATTTTCTCCCAATAAAAGTAGCAGTGATTGCCACAAGAAAACCTGCTTTCTTTTTACCGTTGTATAATTTATTTTCATAGCTGAAAAACTTCAGATGATTGATGATCAGTTTGCAGCCCTTCATCACCAGGGTAATAAGTGGGAGTCTTTGGAAGCCAAGCTTGCAGAGTACAGGAAGGAAATCGAAGCACAAGTTCAAGCAGAAATGAACCAACAGGTACTTAGTCATTTTAAGCCAAGTATGTTATTAAGCACACCCAGCTGTGTAAAATGGTCTTACCATTTCATTACGGTTTCATCATTTTTCTCTTGTATGCATTTAATGTCAAAATAATTCACTTTACTTGAATTGCAGTGCTGTTTTTTCATTTAACAGTGCGAAAGACTGAAGGAAAATGAGATGATAAATTACATTGCGCTTTAACATTTTTTTTTTTAGATTTTGATGAAACAGTAAAAAAAATCCACAGCATATTTACCAGATTTAAATGTAAAGTCTCTGCATCATCAAGCACGTTGAGATGTAATGTATATGTGCAATGGGATATTTATGGAAGTAATGTTTGGTGCAGCTGCAGCATTTTAAAGAGGTTGAACTGGCCAGGCTTAAGCTGGAGGAAAAGGAAAAATCACAGAAGGAAGTTTCGGAGCTGAGACGGGAAATGGAGAGGACCTACCAGATCAAATCAGAAGCCCTGATAAACCGGGAGAAGAATGCCATCGAGAGACTACAAAAGCAGCAAGAGGTAATACAAGAGATAAAGGAAGGGAATAATCACGGGTACTGCATAACAGACGATTAAAAGATCCAGTGCATGCTTATGCGTATCTTTCCCAGCCATAAGGCCATAACAAACTTTAAAATATCAAACCTTATGTAAAAGGTCAATATAAGACTTGTACAATTTTTAAAAATGTTATATTTTAACTTAAAATTTAAGACAGCAGAGTGTTGTTACACCACAAAAGTGCGACACATCTTTGAACCAAGCAATGGAATAAAAGTATACATTTGATTATCCTGACTACATAGTACTACAGAGAACCTCATAAATACACTGTGTGGTTAAAAAAAATTGCGCCTTACTTTTAAAAATACATTATTCTTAATAATATATACATATTTAGTTTAGTTAAAAATAAGGTTTTTCTTAACATTAAAGCATATAGGTTATTGATGGTATATTATTTCTGAAATCTGACGCAGTGGTACACTTTTCATAAACTTTATTCTTTTTTTTTCTTACCCTAGATTGAAGAAAAAGAAATCTATGCTCAAAGACAATCACTTCTTAAAGAGATTGAAACAGTGAGGAACAGAGAGGCAGAACTGAAGCAAAGAATAGAAGCTTTTGAAATGTAAGCCAATAAAGTCTAATTAGCTTAATCACTGCAACAACAGACTATAATGATACCCTTGTGGGAAAGTAATGAGATTATACCTGTATGTGAACTCATTTGTATTAATAGCAAGTAAACACGCAGTTCACCATTGTCATTTCTCTCTTTATGTGAAGCTCTAATCATATTTATGACTAAAATGATTAAAACCTTATAGTGTAAGTCAACATACTATGTGCTGATCGTTTTAAAATTATTTTTATAAACAGGCTTACAGGTTTACCCACAGGTTATGTCAGCTGTGCTTAAGCAAGAACATATAGTTTCAATTAAAGTATATTAATAATAAAATTAAGAAAAAGCAGACCTTAACAAATTAAGATTTAATGTGTGGATTGATTTTTATGAGGTACAGTATGTAGCTAAAACACGCTAAAAACATGTATAACATAGAGCTGTACATTTGAACATAGAGCTTTTTTCCGTCTGTGACTAAGATGTACAGTACTCATATCTGATAGCTCTCTAACACTAGGATTTGAGACACTGTCTAGTGGGGCTAAGCATTTAGACTTCAGCCTAATGTTATTTCAGAAAATCCAAAAAAGCCTGACTATTTACGAACATTCAGCAAAGTGTGATAATATAAGGTTGTGAATTCAATGTGCAGGGCAACAGATATACACAGACAACACAAACAGCAAAAGTATCTGGAATGGTATTATATATATATATTACCCTTCAGTATTGTTGCCCTCTGTTAAATCCATCTATGTAGCTTTTTTTCTTGTTTGTTGCATAGGAATTGCAGATTGCAAGACGAGAAGACTAAGACTACAGAGGAGGCTTTAAGACGCAGAGAGCTTGCGGTTAAAACCATTGAAGATACCTATGATCAGAAACTAAAGAACGAGCTTCTAAAGTATGAATGGCCTCTCATGGATTTTGCTGTTTGCTTTTCATGTTGGAAATGAATGTTGGAAATGTACTATCTGGATTCCTACACCTTTGTTTTGATCAACAGTATGGTATATTTGAATCCATATGATTTCTGGCTGCGGCTGTTCCTGCAACCTATGATGTATCCATAATTAAGCAAAATGCTCCATCTGGTGTTAATTTGGTTAAGCATTAGCTGTTCTTTTTAGTAGAATAGTAAAAAAGCTAGATTCCTCTTGTGTGCTGAGTGCTTACAGGAAACCTGAACACTCAAGCACACAATTGTACTTTCAGCATCTGCTAAGGTCAACTTGCCATAGCAATGCAGAGAAATGTTTTCTTGTCTCACTTCAGTCAAACCTGTGTTGAGCATCTACTACAGATTAAAGAACTTCACATTCACCTTTTCATTCCTCAAACATTCACCCAGCAGGTGTCACTGTTGGGCAGAGGTAGACAATGGGAAATGTATCAAGAGAAATAATGTCATCACATGCTGTGTGAAAGAGCCAATGCAAATAACGTATTTTGTATTACCATCCAAGAGTAGTGGCTTAATCTGTAAGATGAATGATGTTCTATTTACCAAACAAAATATTTTTCTGTTTAACTGAAACAATCTGCTTTAGTTGGAGAGGATTAGAAAGTCTTTTGTCTAGATGTGCTACACCTCTTTCAAAAAAAAGAGCTGAGTTTTATACTTCTAGTACAGTTTTACTGTACTCAAGAGAGGGAACAGTATTCCTAAGGTTTCTGAAGTACGATATTGGCCTGGTCCATTTTATTTTCAATAGAATGTGCTTTATATCAACTGCAGGTAGAATTAAGTGAATCATCAGTCGCTCAATTCTACTATATACTTATACACTTATCCCGGCCCTGTCATTAACTCAGACTGTTAAGATGCAATTTCAGAGGCTATGCTCAATTCTGACTTTTTAGTGAAAATATAATGTTCTTTTAGCTTCACCACAAATGAAATGATTATTTAAGTATTTTAGTCAGTAGATCTAACAAGTATGAACAGCTGTCATTGGGCATTACAGCAATATACTAGAGCACACTGCAGTCAGAAACACTGGCAAATGCAATTGTGTGAATTTATCATAAAAACAGCATGGCATGAATTACTATTTATATTACTAGTGCATTCACATCATGTTCAATCAAATAACATTTTGTATATTAATTGTTAGCTGGTTGTGTTCAAGGCTGCGATTAAAAATGTATTGATAAAATCATGGCAGATCAAAAAATGTTTTTACCATCAATCAAAATGATAGTTAAGGGTATTTGTTTCCTTATTCTTTTAAGTGTTTATAAAAGCAACAAAGAAAGAGGAAACAATTGTTTCAACCATTCTTTTAATCTGTGTATTTTCTAAATATGAACTTGACGAGTCTAATTTTTTTTCTTAGGTATCAACTGGAACTGAAAGAAGAATATCTGAAAAGAACTGAAAAGGTCACTGAAGATGAGAAAAGGATTAAAGGTGTGTTGCCTTTTAAAATGTTTTTTATAATGTTTTTTTTTTCACGAGGATTTTTAATACCTGCCATCAGAAATGCTCTCCGGTAAAAAAACAGTTGTCTGCAATAGGGGTCAATAAGTCAGTGGGTCCCAAGGTTTGCCACTTGAGTGTTTTACAGCAGATGACACTGCCAGAAGCCCTTCAACAAAGTAGCTGAGGAAGAAATAATTTAACTAGCACCCCTTAGTAGCTCACCTGAACTTTGACAGAGAAATCAAAAATGCAGAAACTGCTTTTCCTCAGTTTATTAACACAAACAATCGCCAATACAAAATCGAAGTACAGCCAAGCAGCGTTACGTGTCCTTTGTAAAATAGTGCAAATGATAGCTTAATTCTGTTTTCAAAGAATCTCAGTGAAACAGCTAATGTAGAAACAGAGTACAAACAAGCAGCGGTTAGTTTTTGCAACATCCGCACACGATTTCACAAGCTGCTCATGTGGCAAGTCTTCTGGGCAACCATGATTTTTATGTAGCTTGGTCCAGAAATAACCAGTACGTGCTCCATATCTGATGTCTGCCTCACTCAGAATCTATGGGTTTGTGCTTTAAAAGTGGTTCACAATTCTAGCCCAGAATTGTTTTTTTGTTCCAGTTTTATACACGGTTACAGTTGCACTTTTAAGTTTTGCATTTGCCTTAGCCATTATAATATATAAATATAGGTCCCGCATAATTTGTTTGCAATTACCTTTTGTCTCACGTCTATGCTTCTTCTTAGCTGAAAGCCTCCATTTACGGAAGGAGTTGGCTGTTCTTGATCAAAAGACAGAGGAGCAGAGACGAGCCATTGCTGAAGTGAAGCGGCTGCAGGTGCATTTATGTTGCGATATTTTCTGCGTGTGTGAAATGTATGTGTGTTAACTGGGTGCCAGGAAGGCGACACTGAAAGAAGATAAAATAGGAAACCGTGGAAGGTGAAGCTGTGCTGTGGAGTGGTCTTTCAGCATGTGTTGTAATATTATGTTTTGGCCCCTGATAATAAACGTCTTATGCTGACAAGAACCGTCACACTTATGTAACATGTTCCTTTTTAAAAGCTGGCAAAAATAACTTTAAGCAGTGGAGTGGACTGCTGTGCTTATTTGATATAACATGAAGTGATCTTTTCAGCGGTGGTTTTAACTCTGATTTAAGTGTACATGGAAAGTTGGAAAAATTATCATCTCAATCTAGAAGGCAACAGCAGAGACCAGTGATGGTCAAAAAGCATTCTTTTATTTATTATTTTACTTATATATATATATGTTTTAATTACAAAAACTGTATTTTAATTTTTTAATCAGAAATTGTATTGATGTATTTTGGATTTGTTCTGTAGCGTTCCATAACCAGGTTTCGGCTTTATAAGTGGGCTGAAATTAAAGGTTATGTTACTAATTGCACAACAAGGTTTAAGAGGGAGCACCATGATGCTGTCCCCAAAGCAAATAATTTCTTATTTGACTTTCTCTAGGTAGAGCTGGATGCCGCAATGTCACAAATATCTTTACTAACACAACAAACCAAGCTGCTGAAGGAGAGGCTGGAGGAGACTACAGACTACCCAGTGCTCAAGAGAGAGAGGCTGGAGCTCCAGGCCCAGGTGAGGCTCATTACAAGGCACCTTGAAGACACCCAGGAGGAGAACCGCCAATTTAAAGCAGGTGAGTGCGTCATCTTCCAACACCGTCTGGAGGCTTGTGATAAAACTAATCTTGGGTTTTCTCTGTAGATGACTGAGACTAACCGGAAGAGTCAAAATGGTTTCGAAAACCAACCAAAGCCTTGAGAAGTTTTTTCTTAAGTTTGTGTGTGCGTACATATGTTTTAAACATCCACCTTGACCTATATGTTTACTGTTTTAATTAGCCAGCACATTCCCAGTGTGAATTCCCAGTTCTCTGAATGGGTATGAGTCCAGCAGGGGCAAGCTGGGACCAGTATTGTGGGGGACTTATTTAGGACACTCTGTGCCTGTCAATGTGCTGTTTCTTGGCAGCAAATCCTGTACCACAGACAGTGCTGGGAAACAGACTCGAAGCCCTGTGAAGCAGGGGTCAGCGCACTAATACCATAGGACAGACAGCCTTCTTTATGGGGGGCTGAGTGCCAGGATAGAAGCAAGAGACTGCATTGAACTCACTGTTGTTTCCTGTTTGTGAGGGAGATTGATTCAGGACTGTTACATCCACTTGCAATCGTCAGCCAAGTAACAACTGCTTTGCATTGATGCTAGGGGTTGCAGAAAAACTAGATTCTTTTGTACTCAAGTTAAGATATGTATTTTCTCCATATGAGGGCAGCAACACATAAATATAAATATTGTTTGTTTTCCTTGACTTGTGCTGTTATATTTTGTGTAATAAATGTTCAACAGCACAATGTAATAAAACTAATGGGCCTGACAAATGTGATGCCAACAGCACCTTTAACAGTTGTTTATAAATTGTTTCTGCCTCGTCCCTTGATGATTAAATCCATATCAATCCATCTGTTTAAGGTAGTTTTTATCAGAGACACCATGTATGCTAAAAGACAATTAAGGTGTCACCTTTATAGAAGCTGATTTACAGTCAATGACATACTTAAGCAAAGACACGGAGAGGACTAAATGGAAGAAATGGTTATACTATCACAAATAAAATGACAAAAACAGTGGACATTACAACATTAAACTGTCCAGTCTCGGTGTAGAGTGGACGAATGGTAAAGAACATGATACTAAATGGGCTGCAGAAATTTGAATGGATGTGCTAAAGATGGTTTGTTGATGCATTGAGACCAGTTAGGAGAGAGATGCACTACTCCTGTCTAGAGAGAACAAGGACTTGGACCCGAGGCTGAGTGAAGTCAGATAAAAGCTGCATGTTCTTTGAAGCTTTTCAGCCACTGATGCATACTGGGTTGGACCATTCACTCCCTTTGAATTTTTTTAGGAAGGATTCATTCATTCATTCATTCATTCATTTTTGATGATTTCATTGTGAACGTATCTAATGTTGTAGAAATATGCATTCAAAATGTTGTTTTAAATTAGTTAAATTGTGTCTTATCTACCATATGCTACGATTAATACTATCATAAAAGTAGAGTATAACAAACTATTTACTACATTGAATGAATTATTTAATAACATTCCTGGGGATGGAGGGTGCTAAACATTGTAACTGACTTCATGTGGATCTCCCAGTGTGAAATTTGAATCGTCCTACAAAGGCTATGTGTGAGAAACCAAGACTATTAATGTGCACATTTGCACATTACAAGTTACGTTTTTTATTCAGGTTTAAAAAAAAACAAACTAGTTTTGTAGTTTTATTTGCTAATTACAGGGTGTTGTTTGCTTTTGTAGCGCTACGTCAGCCCACTGCTGAGTACCTGGCTCTGCAGACCGAGGTGAGGAAAATGGAAAATGCCAGGAAGCTGGATGAAGAGGAGTTTGAAAATCAGAAACAGGTGCTGGAGACGCAGTTACAAAATGAGGTCAGAAAACCAGGCTGTTTTGTACGTAGACTTGTGTTTCAAAAGTTGCCATGAAAGAAAAAGGAAAACGATATCTAGAGCCTATGCTGCCATGTGAGCTGTGACATACTTGTGCATCTCTGCAAGCATAATCTCTGGCGTGAATGCTGTTTCATTTTGAGCACAGGTGCCGCAGTCTCTTGAGGCTAACTGGTGCTTCAGCTAGGCATGGTCATGCAGCGTGTGCCGCAAAAAATGACTGCTCCCTTTTTATTGCCTCATCAAAATGTTTGCTTTCCAATCAGTACTCCCACTTCAGCAGACACATTTACCTAATTTGCTTCACTCACAAATCTAATCTTGCAAAGACAAAGAAAAGGCACCAATCAGAATGTGCTGTTCTGATTAAACGTGTCGATTAGCACATCCCATGTGTGCAGTCTTATTATATGTTATGCTCTGCCGACACTTGACCTGGAGATGGAAGATTTTTGGCAGTGCTCCTGTCTGTGATAGAACAACGTTTGGTGCTACAGAATAGCACTGCTTATAGCACCGGTTTTTGCACCCATGATTCCTGGAGTCTCTTTCATTGGGGAAATGGTAAATAAACCAAGACCCCCTAACTCAGTTGTGGCATTGTCTGAATTGAGAAGCTCCTTCTTTATTTCACAGATTGAGCGTTCTGCTCAGTTGAAGGCCCAGCTCATGGAATGTGAAGAGAGAGCAGAATGGCTAGCTACCCATGCAGAGGATGTGAAAATGCAACTAAAACAAACACAGCTGGGTTAGTCTTTTTCCCTGTTCGCTTTAAGTCATCCAAAAAAATTGAAGATAATCGTAGTCTTATGTGACCTATTTACAAAACATGTATTTTGGGGGTAAAAAACATTTTTTTTAAACTTTAAAGCGCACAAACAACGGTGTTTGATTAATTTTCATTGTCACCTGTCATACATATTAATAGTGGGTAGCTTTGGTTCAAACAGAGGTACTGTACAGCATGTCTTGTCCAATTAATGGTGTTTCTGATACCTTTCTGTACTGCTACCTGTTACTTTGTACTGTTGGTGCAAAGTTATAAGCAGGTTGAACAGTATGTGGACCAGATTGCTTTTCTACAACTATACAGTGCTTATGAATATGAAAAAGCTTGAAATATGTTTTTAAAACAGCTGTTGTTTAAACATCTCTGAAAATGAATGTAAATCATGATATACGAGTGCTTCAGATCATTACATAATATTTCCTGTGAATGAATGGCTGCAAAATAAACAACTGAGATATTATATGGCATTGTGAATCCTGTGTTTAAGTGTTTCAGACTGAGGAGAATCTCAGAGCAATTGATTGTGTGTATTTTATGCAAGTGTGTACAATTAATAAGAATTACATTATGATAACCCGTTTTAATTTCTGCATATGAATCACGTGCTTCAGAATTATTTTTAATTTGTTTCTCCATACTTTCTATTTAAAACCAATATAGTTCCTTGCAATCCAGCCTTTTAGGAGTTTTTAATCACCATTACTATATTTGTCATCTGTCTTTTTCCTTCTCTTTCTCTGTTCCGCATCTTGTGATGGCTGCAGCATTGGAAAATGAAGTCTTCCGCAACCCAAAGCCTTCTCTAGTCGATCGCTCTGTCCTCGATCTCACTGCTGATAGGATTGTGCCGCCTGATCTCTACGTCGATGGGCCTGTTCAGAAGAGTAGGAGAGTACCCGGGGGCTCTCTCTTTGAACCTGCAGCAGGCCTCGCCTCTACCAGTCAAAGACACTTGAGGCCCCGGGGCAGCTCCCTGGACCCCGACACCGAGCTGGTGGCGGGGGCTAAGGCACGAATCAGGGAACTGGAAAAGGAGGCGGAATCTTTGGAAGAGGCCTACAGGAACTACCAGCACAGGGTCATCCAGGCAGCGGCATTGAGCGCTCCACCACCAGGGCCGCAGTCACCCCAGCAACAGCATTGTGTCGCCCTCAGCGGGATCTCCTCTGCTTCCCCCTCCAGAGTGACATTCGCGGATGACATGCTTGGCTCCCGTGAGCTGCTTTCCGGTCAGTTTAATGGGCACCTGCTAGATTCCTTGAGTATATTTGGTGGAGCGGAAACAGCAGGGGTCCAGACCCCACCCGAGCGAAACTCGCCCAGACGCCTGTCCTCCACTCCTCTTTCGACATCTAAAAGGAAATCTAGGAGGGGAACTGCAGAAGGTAACTTTACCTTTTACCAAGTGGAATATGACATGCAGTCCTTTTATTTATTTTCTGCATTATTCTTTATTACGGATTAGCGTGCTTCTTTCCTGAAATTGGAAGCTTATGTTTCTAGTTTCTTCCATGTTCCCTGTTTTGTTTCTGCTGTATGGGCCATTTGGCACATCACGCAGCTCAAACACAAATTAGTTTTACGAGTGAAAGGATCTGAGAATCCTATCCAGGTGGTTCTCGAACAATGCAATGATATTGACTTCAACACCTTGACTGGGTAGCTAACTAGACTCGCATAGCCTTTTGTGTAAACTAGTGCTTCCTCTTCTCCTCTTTATGAGCACAAGCTCTTAGACCCCCTTTTATATATCCTTAAAATAAGTTTTACATGTCAGATGATTTTTGTCATTAGGTAGGTTGCATTAATTTGTTGCAGTGAACATCGGTTCGCATTTATTTCCATATTGTATTAATTTATACAAGATACACTGATTTGTTTCACAACAGAGAAGCAGTGAAAATAAAGTTTTTAACATCTGAAGTGAATAGAATGATTAAATGCTGATTGTATATAGTTGCTAGCAGCCCCTTTTACCACATGTTTTGCTTTAATAAGATACTCTAAGATGTCATTCATAACCATTACCAGTTGAGTTATGATTGTAACATTGTGCACAGTACGTGCTCCAGAGTAAACAATGACTCTTTTGAATGAGTAGTGCTTCCTATGCTGGTCTCTTAAAATAATGGAAGGGGTGTTAGTTCATATGCAAAATGCTCAGGGTAATTCTTTTTGATTTACCTTTATCAGGCACCAGTTGTACAACTCTTCTTATCTCGGAAACACAAAACAGTTAAAGTTTTAATTAATTAAAGGTGAACTCATTGACAACAATAGTATTTTTTGTTCTTTAGATAAAGATCATTCCCATACAGCCTCTCACCACAGTTTGCCTGAATGGCAGATACCTCCTAGGGATCACCCATCGTCTTCTGCTGATATCAGCGTTCTTGGCAGTCCTCCTTTAAAAAGTACAGCTAGAGAACATGCCAGGTAAATCAGAATTCACATTCGCTGCGTGCTGTCGTGCTCTGTCGCCTTATGACAAGAAATGGTGAACAATGTAGAACAACAAATACAAAAATAAAGCAACCAAATCAATCATGGAAAAAGAAATCGTGGAAAACCCGCAGAACTGCAACTTAATCCCTGGGGATCCTGAATGTCTCATTCAGTTAAAAGGCTCCCTTCAAAGTGCAGGCATGGCCTTATAGCAGCAAGGATTCTGGTTTTAATTAAGTAAGAATGTAGATGGGCTATTTATGGGGACCGGACCATCACTGCTTTCAAGAAGTTGGCAGTGAAAAATCAATAACATTTTGAAATGCTGCACTCTTTATATAACCCATGGAAAAAGTGCCACAGCCCTGCATCTACTTAATATTTGTTTAATGCTTGGATGTTTGCTGTTAAAGCAATGTGAATGGCAAAAAATGCAAATGTGCTTCATTTACAGTATGTTTGTATCTCCTGGTTCTGAAATATGTCTTATTGACATACATAATGTTGTATTTCTTTTCTTCTTACAGTTTCCAAAAACCAACTGAAGGTCTTTTAAGCTCAGGGTCTTCACCTCCTCCTGAAAAGATTTCTGTTCAGGATCTTACAGAACCCTCAGGAGGTAAGTTGTCATTGCTTTGCATTTTATCAGAAGAACTGATCCTGAAAAGAACAGTTTTTGTAGCAATATCTACAGTAATTTACTGTTATACTGTGAATCACTTAGCCTTTTCTTTTAAAAGCCCAGCTTTTATCACATGAAGGTCCTACAAAACTCTTTGTACAAATAATTTGCATGCCATGCATAGTATTGTAAAAAACTAACAGATGTTAAAACACAAGAATAAAATCATAACATTTTACAGTAATATCTACATGATGTTCTTTGCCAATTCCAAACGCTTTTGTTTTTCAACACATTTTTTGAAAATGTTGACATCTGTTTTTCTGATTTAAAAAAAATAGGCACGAAATTTGTACCAACATAAATCAAATAGAATTAAGTTAATAAAGCTGTAGCGCCCAAACTGTATTACATGCAATCTGGAATTAGTCAGGTTTTCACTTTAAAGAAATGCAACAAACAAACTGAAATGAAAATTGCCCTAATTGAAGTGTTTGCGTTTTCATTTTCTTCAAGGTCTACCATATACAGCAAAGTGTAACTCGGGGCTGTTTCAGTGTCCCATTTCCTCTGATGTTGCTGCCTATATGGTTGTTACATTTGAGGTTTCTGGCTATATTAGTTTGTTGTGATATTTTTACAGTAACGGGGAAGTGAATGTTTTTTCTTTCAGATGTCCTTTTGGCACAGTTAGTATTAAAATGTAGATTTTACAGGCATTATTATGTGCCATATAGGCAACTGTTCTATAATTACTACATATCCACATAAATATAAGAGTCTTTTCTGTACTTGACAATCATTAAGGGACTTCCACTGGAGTACTGTTTATTTTTGGTTCAAAGTGATTCACATTTTCCATGATGAACCTTGTATAAAACTGTTCTTGTTTTCCTGTCTGACCTGGTTGGTACTGTACAGTATGTGTACTTTTTAAATCAGTTGAGTCTTCTTCAGTGTGTGTACTGTGTATATATGACATGGAACAATGTAAAAACTTTTTGGGGGTTATCAGTATATTTTATACAAAACACAGTAGTTTCTAATTAAGTATAGCGGAATTGTAATTCTGATCCTGATTAAGCCTTTTGTGTACCAAGATTTATGTAGCATTTAGTTTTTTTCCCAAAGGAGGGTGATTGTGAGTCAAGCTTATCTTATAATTTTATATAAAACATTGATTTGTGCCTGACGACACCCTAAGAACTATGGGTGTGCACTCTTTCTTCTTTTTAAAAAAAAAAAACATTTCTTACCAGTTATCACAAATAATGTGAGGATTATTGACTATCAAATACGTAATCATTACTCGATAATCAAGTGTTGAAAAAGAAATTGGACAACCATGATGGGAAAGCTATGAAAATATTTAAGAAGCACAGCAATAAAATGGAGGCAGGGACTAAACAAAGGAAATACCACAGAATGACAGTTCACCACACAAAATGTGTGAGCAAACACATTAAAACTTAAACTGTTTTGTTTTTTTCATTTAAACCAAATAAGTCACTTGACAGTAAGTTCATATTTCAAGCAAGAATGGATATATTTACAGAGCAATCTGAGCGCTAACGGGCACAAAAGCAGCATCCCAGGACTCTCCACTCCAGAGTCCTAACCACTGCTCCATACTGCTGCTTTGATTTATTTGGGGAAAACTAAGCACAGCCTCTATAAAATCTGGAAAATGAGTCATTTACTTAGCAAAATCCTTGAATCGCTATATAAGATTTGACACGGAAACTGAGAGAAAAGGGTCACAAAATTCACAAGAGCAATTCTGTTTTATTTTCCGTGAGCAAAACCAAAATGCAAACCTTTACTGGAAACAGCACCCAAAAGTTTAGAATTCCCCTGTCAAGTCGCTGAAGAAGCCTGTTGTTTTTTTACACAGAATGACATTAATGGAAATTCCTATTCTAGCAGGATTGTGACCCCTCAGTATTCTGGAAACTCGAGCCTGCTGTTGCGAGGAGGAAACCAAAGTTGCCTACCACTGAGCTGTATGTGTTGTGTTAAAAGAATGGGCAGCAGGGTCAGGAGAGTTACCAGGAACTGATTTCAAATTAAAAACAAAACTTCACGCTATTAAGGACACAAGGTTAGCTTGAGAACCCTTACTGTAGTATTTAATCATTTTAAATATTATTGGCTTTAAAATTAAAAATTAAAATCCATTTTAATTTTAAATATAAAATTTTGTGCGCAATACTTTTGTTTTTTACATAAAATGTTTCCCATTCATTAGCTATTTACAAGCTTAGACCTGGCAGAAGTAAATAAAGAAAATGGCTTTCATTTTTGTTAAATACATACTTGGTTTATAGGTTCAGGAAGGTTCTGGCCTGGAAAAGGCACAGTAGCTGAAATATTATTTAAACCAACCAGTGCTATATAATGGCCTTTGAAATGTGCTAGATATCGTGTGACCTCTTAAGCTGACAGGGCAGGGTCGGGACACTGTGCTTCCGAACGGTCCAGAGCTGGATTTACCCCCTGCTTTCTTCCAGCGCCCTGAGCAAACGGTGGAAAGCTTGGACTGTGCACCGCGCCGCACGTCCACTTCACTTTCATCACCATGCCCCCGGAGGCTTGTCCTGCCAATGCTAGATTATTCACGGCAATTTCATCTCCCATTCACTATAAATACCTCTCGCCCTTCAGGTCTTTCCTGTTAGCTCCCTTCCCTTGGCTGTTAGAAGCACGCACTAGCACATGACCAAAACACGTTTTTAAATGAAATCATAAATACCTATTGCACGACGTCTGCGCCCAACAGCATTGATCTAAGCATTATCACTAATGTCTCGCATACTTCTTCAGGATTCTAGTTCAGAACAACCAGACAACCTTCCCGTTTGAAGTTTAACCTCTGTTTTCAAAAAGTGGACTGTTTCCCGTGCTTGAAGTCTAATTGTTTGTTGTTTTTTTGTGTGGCATTGCACTATTTTTTTTTGGGCATGAATCACCATCCAATAACAAAAAGAAAATATCTAGAGCATACTGTAAGTTATATTAATATTTCGCCTACTGTGCCTTTTCCAGACTAGTCAGTGAATGCTTTCTACCTGAAAATATCAATCGGTTGGACCTGATTTACGTTTATGTATTTAACAAAAACGAAAGTTATTTTACTTGCTTTTGCCAGTTCTGAGCTTGTGAATCAGTGACTAATGATTGTGACACATTTTATGTTGTGTTTAAAGGCAGACTTGTGAAGCAAATTCATTGTTTTGTCAACATGCCAAGTCTATAAACTGGTAAAGGACAAGTTGTTATGTCTCCTTAATGAAGTGCTGGCTGATTAGGAATTCTGTGTCCGTTCCCCCATCTTCCTCCGTTATAATGAGGAAATAAAGAGGCCATTGTGCTGTTTTTATTCTAGATCACAGCGACATTCCGAAGCAGCTTGAGAGTGATGTGTCCCATCAATCTGGTGAGAATATGAATAGGCACAGTGTCACCACACCAGAGCCAGCAATAGCTACTTCTCAGCAAGACCTCGGTGAGTGCCCATCTAAATCCTGTCCCCATGCTCATTACGTGCAAAAGCAGCATAGCTGAACCTTTTAGAAGAGTTATCATTGCTGTATACTGTGCAAGCATCATAATATATACTGCAAGACTTAAATGATACTTAAGTTAATGGCCCTTATTTGCCATAGAGTTCCTTTTGCATGTCTGTACCTATTGTAGTATACTACACTTATATTTATTCTCGGCTCTGTCCAATATGCAGATGTAAACTAAGCAGTGAAGATTCATGAAATATCCATATGGTGCTTCCATAATTGCTGTACTGAAAAATAAAAAAAATGAATAGAATAGAAGACTAACATTCTTTTTAGAGAATTTATGCACATTTAGCATATTTTTCTCTTGATATTGTATGAGTAGATTTGATATAAGTGTAATATTTTGAGGGGTATACATATGGTCATACAGGAGACAATTTCACAATCAGTAGCTAAACAGGGACATGGGTTCTCAATTTGAAACTAAATGGGAATTCATTTAGGGTGGAGAATTGGTAATACTGTTGTACTGGGCCAAATGAACTCCTCTCGTTTGTGTTCTTAGGTTCTTTTGAATGCTCATGGGTTTTGGGGACCAATTATAATAACTGAGATATTTGAAGATTTATTTAAAAAAAAACTATTGCAGAGTCAGTTGAGCATCAAGCTGCTGAACAGCAGGATACGGAGGAGGAGGAGGAGGCAGAGAGATGGGAGCTGGAGAGGAAGCAGCGAGAGGCCAGGAGACTGCAGGAGAGACAGGAGGCCATGGAGAGGGAACAGAGGGAGCTGGAGAGGGTGAGGCCTCGCTTATCATTTCGGTGTAAAAGCCTGCGACACTTGCATCTCTGCCACCCTTTCTAGTGCGAGATCTACTGACAAAAACAGCCAGCTGGCTTCTGTGACGCTTGGCCTTTTCAGACGAGCCAGTATTTCCTTTTTTTAACCTTTTATCTATTTATTTTTATTTTTCATTTCTTCAAAAAAAAACAACTTTAGCAGCGTTAAGTGGTTAGATCTTTGTTGTATGATTAGACGAGGTGGATGAAGTTGATGGCACTAAGAAACGTGAAGTACCAGCTATTCATTGTCTTTCTGTACGTCTCTATTGAAAGCTCATGGAAGAGGAACAGCAGCATCGTGAGCCCAGTTTGAAAGGACCGGCAGGGAATGACACCGCATCCAAGGACCCTGAGGGAGAGGAGGCAGACCCAAGATCTAAAACAGACCCTCTTGAGAAATACATGAAAATTGTCATGCAGAACAAAGAACGGGGTCAACAAGAGCCGGTAAAAAATATGTGGTTCTTTTAACAGCACCACAGGTTTGAATAATCACAGTTTTCCTAAGTGACTAATGATTTGAAAGTACACAACAGCTGTCTTTTTTTATAATAGCTATCCAGCTGTTGTCCATTATCAGGTAGTAGTTAGGGCTCTGGACTCCAGACCACTGCTCTTATAACCCTGAGTAACTCAAATAGCTTCACTCAAAATTGCCTCAATAAAGAGCCCCCTTTTATAAACGGGTACTTTCCAGGTTGTCATTGTAAATGGGATTCGTTTCTCAGCTGACTTATTTAAAAAAGCATTTGAAAAAATCCTGCCACAAAACATGGTGCATGTTTGTGCTTTGCAGTGACTTCTTTCATAAAAGGCCTTACAGAGCGAGTCATTATAAGTGCTTTTCTTTGAGCCACAGTATTGCCATGATGCCAAAGCTATAGTAGACCTCGTCTCATTTTATTTCTGGGTAAAAGACAATAATTCTTGTGTATTAGAGATTGGAAGTGCGTAACTTGCTTATCCCAGCACAGAAGGAAAGTTGATAAAACAATACCAAATCCATCATTCGAAATATCTAAATTAATTCAATTGATTTTCCAGAGTTCAAGCAAGGAAGCAAGAGAGCAGGAGAGCTCCATAGCTGAAATACTGTCTGAGAAGGATGAAAGGTACAGTGTGAAAACCCTCTTTTATGTTTTTTTGCATCAACAAGATATTCAGCCTTGTGTGTTTGTGAGTGATTTGGGGAGTGTTATTTAAACAACATCGATCTGATTCAGTGTTCAGCAAAACGTCTTGTTAAACTGTTAAAACTGAAGAGGGCCGAGTCCAGGACAAGTGTTGGTTTATGAAAGGGGAGTGCCGATTGAGAACTTACAATCTCAATAGTGAATAAGGAAAACGGCACCAAGGCGGAAAGGCAGGGGTAGCACTGTGAGGGTCACTTCTTTTCACTGTAATAGACAGACATGACTGGAAAACTAGACTCTGAGAAGATTCAGTCAGCAGTCCTCCTGTTCTGATTGTTCATATTTAACATTCTTTGCAATAATGTCACCTTTCTAACTGTATCTCAGCCAGACGGCCTCATTGCTAAAGAATAGCAGTAAATAGAATAGCATGATGGCTGTAAGGTGCAATGAAGGCTTATTACTTACTTGATGTTTCTTTCTGTTCCAGCATTGCTGCCCTCTCGCATGATGATGCCGATGATGATTTTTGGTGAACTTATCTTTAAAGCTGACCTTTTCATTTAAAGCACTGTTTGTTTTTTTGTGCATAGTGTCCATAATAGTATGTTAAGGATTAAAGTTATTTTAAATGGAAGAAAAAAAAGTTTTCACCTTTTTTTCCATATATCCCTGTGACAAACACTGTATCTCACATTTATGGTCACACATGCTTCCTGTTAAGAGAATAGAAATACAATGACCCAACCTTTTCTTTATTTTACGTATTTCTACAGCAACTTTTTAAATCCAAATAAGCAACAACTAATTAATGAAGTTCTACAGAAATCACAAGCTACTAAACAATATGCCTTGTTAATGTTTCTGTGCCCAATAAAATGGTAAAGGTCTGCTTAGGAATGGTTTTCCACCTCGCTAGTAGTTCATAGATCGATCACTATGGAAATTGCACATAACCCCACAAACCCTGCCTTTTCTGTTCAGACTGGTTGTAATAAAAACAAGTCTTCATGAAAGAAGCAGTTTTACTCACCTGGGCTCATTCACTGCACACTGTGGAAATGTATACTGCACTACATTGTACATTACATCATTATATCTTAAGTCTTCTTAAAATTTAATGCCATAATGCACTACATGAATTACTTTAATTGCTCAAAGACTCATTACACTTCTGTTAACAAAATAATTACAAACCTGGTATTAGCCACATGTGCTGTAAACGTTTGGAATTTGTAGTTTAAAAAAACAGAATTTTTTAGGTCTTTTATTTCAATAAACATACATACAATAAGTTTATTTGTGTAGTACAAAACATAACTTCATTAAATTCTATTGTTGTTTTTTCCCTCACTGGTTTTTTGTAGTCCAACCATCTCATTTTAAAGAAAAACTCTCAACTTGTTGATTTTAAGTGTCCAAGGGTATCCTAATGCTTGTCATACAATTTGGGAAATGACAGCGTGCATAGTTTGCTCTGTCAGTGGTGTATATCATGTGATTCTTCTGCAAAATGTGCACGGCGTTACATGGACGCTTGATCCAAATTAAAGGCTCCTAGGTGTCATTAAGCAGAATGATGTTCCGTGAATTGCAATATAAAAACAACATACTGATTCAAAGTGTTTTATCTACAAATTTTAATATCTACTTGAATAAAACCACAAGGAAGCCCTTGGCACTCATAGAAAATATTGGTTTGCTATTAGGTTACAAAATTGGTACTATACAGGATTTTATTACTTTTACTTAAAAAATGGTTCTATGAAAACTAAGGACTCCTATGCCTTCCACATACAATGGATTTTTGTTCCAAGTTAGAAAATGGAAATGGGCAAACACTGCCTACCATAGCGGGTCAATACAAATGACTACACATCACCTGGATCAATGTAGAAATAGTTCTCTCTTCCATGCAACAATGATTAAGCACTACAATATTCCAGTACATCTCATCTACCAAACATAAAACAGAACATCAGTAACTTTTGTCAGTATTTAAACCTTTGCACATCTGAACAATATTGACATACATCTTCAGAGTATTTTTAAAATACAATGACATTTTAATACCAAGATTTTCATAACAAAATATAGAAGCAATTAAACCAGTATTTTTTTAAAGCCCAACATATTTCTGACTAGCAACAGCTCTACATCATATACATCCATAAAATTCTGTAAAGTATACTTCGGTCTGGACTTAAATATCACAGAACCTGTGGTTGTAGGGTATTAACATTCACACATCCCACTTTCACGGTCTTCCAAAATTAGTATTTGTTTGATTAGCAGTAATCAGTAATAACAGATTACGGTACATCATGAAAATTGATGAAAAAACACAAGTTTCTTTTATCCTGAAATGCATAGTGCTTGTTGTGATGGGGATAAGACAGCAGCTAAGCAGTAAAAACTGAGAAATGGTAGAGGTGAAAGAATACCCAGCGTTTTCACACCACAATCCCAGCTTACAAAGAAAACAATAACTTGCCCTTATATGCAAATTGGATATTTTGTTTAATATAACATAAAGGTTTACATACCATTAAAATATAAAAAAACAATCAAGGCATAGTTTAGCTGTATTATGAGAGTGACATGTGTATTAAAAATATGCATTGTTTGTCCATTTGAATAATTTAAATGATTTTTTTAAAGGAATCTCTTTTTATTTGGAATTACCAGCTACTGTTTTACAAACCCACTCAATTTGGAAGCAGCTGTTAATAAGCAGCTCATTGCTGTGGCCCTGATGCCTGGGCAGGGGAGATGAAGACACACACTGGCAGTGTTCCCTCTGCTAGGCTACAGGCATGAGGAGAAGAGTTCAGTCCAGATGTTACCCCATGCTCACAAGGAAACACTGACTGACTCAAGGCCACTCAACTAAAGCAATGCCTGCTAATTGTGTGATAATAGCCTCATCTCAGACAGGTCTTGTTTAAACAGTGATTCCTTCACAGGTTGAAGCGCTCAGGAGGCCTGAGAATGAGTGTTTTTAACCAGGAACATGGCCCATGCACCACTGTTTGAGGCCCCACTACTGTGTGTCATGTTGGGGAGGCTGGAGAAGGCCTCTGTCTGCTGCAACCTTATTAAAACCTGTCAAATGAAATACTGCAGCACTCGCTCTATATGAAAGGGGTTTGGCTTCAAAATATCTTGTAAGCCACTTAAAATGTTTAGACAAAATTCAGCCTCTAAGCATTTTGGCTACATAAACATTTATCAAGAGGCTATTAGTTTTGGTACTTTATATAAACGTTAACTGCTTTTGCCATATTTAGCAAAGTTTGCTGTCTTTACTGGTATCCCTTATATATTTTCCCAGGTCAATTGGCAAATTAAAAACAAGTCTCTCCTTTATTTCAGAAATTCACAATTTTATACCTGAGGTAGTTTTTCCTTTAAGGGCTTCAGTCACTGTTTAACTTGTTGTTCACCAATACAGTAAGTTAGCTCTAACCTTCTGTCAAGTTACTGGAGGAACAAAACTGGAAAATTAGAAGTTAAATTAAGAATCCAAGGTGCCCTCAAGAAGGAAAACTATATCAGATGCGACAGATTTCAAACAGAAATAACAAAAATGCTAGAATTTCTATGTTTATGCTAAGCAAGTAGTAAGCTAATTTGAACTAGATTTTTCTCAAAAGCAAAGCATGCATTTGTTTTAATGGAATGATGCGCCATCGAGTTTCACCATTGCATTCTCAATCTGTTAAAGACTAAACATTCACAGACAATCGTGCACATAGAAATAACACATTGCACTAGTTTTCTGTATTATCTTTATTCGGAATCTGTGGCTTTGTAAGGCGCGTGTGTTGTACTGTGAGTGAAGCATAATCAAAATGGCATCTTTAATAAAAGATGGAGAACCACTTAGCTCAAAAGAAGCTACACTGTTTTCCTTTTCTTTAGCACGGTTATACCTGCTAAATTAAGAACAAGTTACTTAAAAACAGGTGCATTCTTTTTTAAAATGTAAAAAATAGTGCAATGTTTCAAGCTTTACCAGCAAAAACCGGCTGAGAAAGGGGTAAAGGTGTTCTATGTAGACAGAAACAGTTATATTTAAAATGGCATACTTTGAATATTAAAAAGAGAAAATGTATATATAACACAAGAAGAAGAAGAAGGTTCCTACAAACTTTTCCAGGAGAGTTAGTGCAGAAAGCAACACTTATGCATTAGTTTGTTAGGAGGACCCACATTAGTACTGCAAGGAGCAGTCTGTAAGTTATAGCTGCGTATTTTCTTGTCAAATGACTATAGCTGGTCAGTGACGATTATGTTATATCCTTATGTGTAAGAATTGAGACGTTCCTTTGATCGGGACTGGATGTCTTGTAGTTCTTGCTCTTCCTTCATTTTGATGTCTTGGTACGCATGCATGTGACTTGCGTCCTTTAAGTAGGCCCAATTTGCTGACAGAATCATGAGGAAGTGGATCTGGAAGAGAAGGGTGAGGTTGATGGCTAGTAAGCATGTCAAGATGCCAAGCAAGCTACTAGTCAAGCTATGTAAACACAAGGGTTACATGTAAATAAGCTCCCTACTAGGACTAGAAGTTACAGAAGTTAACTGGGTATGGGGTGTCATTTAGTTTGACAGCAGATGCATGCATTTTGTTTTAGTCTGCTGTAGAACAGTTACTGTTAGTGACTCCAAATGGAAAGACAGGCCACTAGACACAAAGTAAAGAATTAAGAAGCCAGTGCAGTGTTTTCAAAAGCAGGTACCAGATAATAGAAAATCACGAGTATCTTCCAAAAGGATACATAAAAAACCATGTACAGGAGATTCTGTAAAATTGTGTGCAAACACTCTTAATAAGGAAAAAAACCCATGATTTTTATTTTGTTCTGTTTTTTACACAAAGCATTTTTATTTTATGTGTAGAAAGGGAAAAAATAACTACATTTTTTAAAATCTTAAGAAAAAAAAATTAAATACTTATGAAGTATAAGTAACCGTCAACACAGATTAAGAAAGTGAACAACAAAAGCATGCAGGCTCACGGTTAACAGAAAAAAGTGGCATGTTTAAACATTTAATGGCAAGTGTTGTATGAATCAAAGACAAAAATAATGAACATTCTTATAAACAGCTGCAGCTACTAAGGCAGAAGCAGGTTACAGTCATTAAAAAAGTACATTTCTAATAAGAGAAATTCTTCAAAAGGGGAGTCAGTTTTTGAAGCCCCAGGCATCAATCAAAAAAGATCCCTCACTGGCCCAGTCCTTCATTAACGCCTCTGTTGTGCAATTTATCTTGTGCTGTAACTATGCCCCAGCGTAGAGTCGTCATGTCAATGACGTATTGTGGTTATTGTTTTAAGGTATGGAACCTGGCTTGATAAAAGGCTTTGATTACGCCAAACTCAAAAATCTGGAACAAGCTACCCAGGCATGTGGTTGAAACCACGACCCTGGCCTCTTTTGAGAAATTGGTGAGATCTTCCAACCAAGAGGCACCTCTACACAAAGGTTGGTGGGAGTGTGGAACAAGCTATCCAGCCAACCTCTCTTGAGAAAAAGTTGGATAAGACCCATAGATCAGTTACCTACTATCAAACAAACTTACTCACTAGGCTGAATGACTGCATCTCGTTTGCAACCTCTCTTGTATTATGCTGTAGTATTTGAGAGAAATGCTTGGTCACATACCAGTAATTACTGCACAGTCACGTCAAGGTGAGACAACTGTCTTCGACTATGCACAAAACTATACTATACAAATGTGACCTGTAATGAAAGTAATGAAACTGTACAATAAGAGGCAACTACTGTAAATCATTTTAGTGTCAGAAAATGGCAAGATATGTAACCATAGTTTACAAATACTGGAAGTATTCATAGTACCCATTATCATTCTATGGTAACATTATACTGAAATATTTTGAAAAAGTGTAGCAACATCATTAAAAATGTTTGCTTGATACAGTAAGGCCACTGTATAATGCCATTCAGATCAAAGAAAATTAATGAATACATATAGCTCCATCATCAGCACCAAATGTATTTGAATAATTTTAAATTAATTGTAACTGCTAATTTTAAAAAGGACCAGAAGAAAGGCCAAATATTGATGCCATGTGGAATCAAAAGCTTGTCCACAGTATAAAATCGGCCAGATGCCATACCTCCCTATTATCTCCAAATGTGCCCATCCCTGTATAAAAATGCTAAACGTTGCATACAAATTGCTATTTACACATTATGTAAAAGGAAAAGAACATTTTTCTATTTTTTTTCGTTTTTTAGTCCATGGTGTCAGTGGTTGCTCAATCTACTCATTGCAGCTTCATAAACTCTGCACTATGCTCTTAAAATACAGCTTAAAATTTAGTGCAGCAGTCTTCTCGACTCTTAAACTTCAAAACGGCATAGTTATATGTGGTAGCCATCATGTAGATCAGCTGGTGGAAGAGAACAAAATACAGGGGTGTGAGACAAAACCGGAGGACATCCTGGTGGTGCTGATGACTTTGAATTTGCTCCCATTCGAACTGCGCTAGTAATAATGTACAAGTACTACACCGCAGGGTCACTGCCTGTAACAAAGACCCTCTCTATACAGGCATTAATGCCCTGAGCTGCTTCTTGCTACTTACAGCTACAGGACAGAAAGCTGAATACCAACCCTAATAGCATCTAATGGTACGTATATTTTATAATCTCTGAAAACAATGACAACGTCGTCAGATTATCTGAAACAAATTCAACAGCATTACTATAATGGATCCGGGGCTTGAATTAGCTTGGTAATAATTTAGCACTGGATCATGTAGCACAGATGTTATTCTTGGAATTTCAGTTTGTTTTTTTCCCCAATTTCTGTGCCTGAATTGTTCAGCTTTGAGACTGAGTGAAATCACAACTGTAGCTGGACAAGAATCAATTCTGTGCAGTGGTGCAATTGGGAGAGGGGTTTGCCTAAACCTCCCTCAGACAGAAAATGTCATACAACATATAAATAAAACATATCTATAGAACAATAAAATGTTTTTTTAATTCTATTCTATTCTAGCAATGTTTGTACTTGGATTCCTATTCTTCTCCTCACTGTACATTTTATCTTAATATTCACTGCTTGATTGTCACAGCACAAACTGTCAAAGCTGCCTTCATTTCAGAGACTTACACAGAGCTTCCCTGTTGCAATAGGAGGAAGTCCATCAGCACGACAAGCAGGTGTCTAACAGCTACGGACATCACAGAAAATGAAATTTGAAATAGACCTCACAGTTGCCACTCAAATGTATTGTTGAATCAATTTTAGGAATCAGTGCGTGTGTAAAAGCAAGGAGGGAGCCCTTTATTAATCTATCAACCAATCAGACACCGACCAGAGCATGTGAAACGCAGGAGATCTTGGTCTAAATCAATTCTAAAGGCATTAAAAACGTGGCTCACCAGTGCAATAACAGTCGCGCCTGCTCCAGCACACGCCACAATGTAGAGGTGGTAAGACAGATAGAACTGGAAAACAAGAGAGATAGAAAATGTGTAAGAAATCCAGATCTTCTGATGTGCAAAAGACCAGAGGATTCCCCATTTTAAAGCGACCAATAGCAAGGATTCTAAACTTTGTATTGCTGGCTTTGGGGACTTGGCTTTGTTTCTTACAGTTGTAGTTTATGTTTATCACCGGTACAGTTTACCACCCCTTTATTTGCCCATTGTTTCTTTCTGTTTGTTGCTTTTTTCTTCCATGACCCAGCAGTAATGTCTGATCCGGCTGAGGGCACATTCCTGAGAGGACAAGCACCTTGAGCTGCTTCGCAGTACTTTCAGGAGGAGCAAGAGGTTGTGAAGGAGTATGTGTGAGAATACAGGAACCCTCAGCAGCACGATACATATAATATTGAGACAGGAAAGTTACTCCTTTCTATATTTCACTATAAATACCCGTGGTGCACTGGCTAACCCAGAAATCCTAATGATGACAAACATGTACCGTGCAGTATATGGCCTGTAGCCAGCAGCTACAGTGTATCACCCTGCAACTCACAAATGGCAACTCACTGAAGTTAAGCAGGTGTGAGCCTGGCCAGTACCTGGATGGGAGTCCTCCTGGGAAAACTAAGGTTGCTGCTGGAAGAGGTGTTAGTGGGACCAGTAGGGGGCGCTCACCCTGCAGTCTGTGAGGGTTCTAATGCCCCAGTATAGTTATGGAGGACATTATACTGCAAAAAAGGCACTGTCCTTCATATGAGACATAAAACTGAGGTCCTGACTCTCTGTGGTCATTTAAAATCTCAGGGCTTTTCTCAAAAAGAGTAGGGGTGTTACCCCTGGCCATATTTCCCTCTGGCCTTCACCAGTCTTGGCTTCGTTATTATCCCCATCTATGATTTGGCTTCAATACTCTTTTCTCATCCCCACTGATAGCTGATGTGTGGTGAACATACTGGCACATCCAGGTAGGGGCTACACATTGGTGTTGGAGGGGAGCCCACATTACCTGTATAGTGCTTTAAATGGAGTGTCCAGTCCAGTGCTTTATAAGTGTTGTTATTATTATTTATATTATTATTTAATTTCCAGCATCCTATATTAGCCATCCTAGTATCTTTAGATAAATACTTGTACAGTAAGTCCAATAAACAAAAAGACAATGGAAAATTAGTTCAGTGAAACTGGGACATATGCACTCATCTGGAACTCTTGGTCTTCAACTGATGACAGCAGTGGAATAGGATAACCTGCATTAAAATTGGGGCACGTAACTCATATAGACATGTCACATTTGTATTAGGGATATGTATGTATATCTAATTTGTATATTAGACTCATTTTAAACAAGGAAACATACTTAGAAATGTATGGAGGGATAAGATGATAAGAGAAGGGTTTATACACTTTCACAGATACTGTTAACTAAAGACGTGAAGACCAGGACCATCTAACAGCAACTCACTTCTGAACTAACATTTCATGAAAAGTCAAACAGAAGTATATCTTCATTACCTCACTGGTGTTGCAGATTGTTCCTAGATTGGAACCACAGGCTTTGCCAGGGGTTGCGCTCCAGGGAATGATACCTAGAAAAGCAAGTGAGAGAATTAATATCGATTAAGAATCAGTTTTATCTACCTTCAACTGTTTTACCAGTTGACTGCACCAGCACAGCTCCAGACCACTGTCAGGCCCCATGTTCTCACTGGCACTGAGATCTGATTCTTCAGGCCAATGGCAATGACATTACTGTGGGGCTTAAAATCTTGGGTCCAACCCTTCTCTCCACTGATACCCAGTGCTGAAATGACTATACCACCTACAGTCAGAACTGCAGATGCACTCGCCATCTTCCTGAAGAAATTGACAACTCATCTCTTTGCGATATACCTGCTGCCAGAGACCTGTAACTGGCCTTCTCTTAGTGATGATGCTCTTACGTCATTACTTCTTGTCTGTCAAACTGCACTGAAACTCCTTAGCATTGTGCAACGTCACAGCACTTAATACAGTACGATCTTAAGTGGTTTCACTGTGGCTTTATGCTGCCGTCACCTACATCTTGACCAGATCAAGACCAAGATTGCATCTTGACCAGAGAGCAGCTCTTTCTTACCATACTGCCGAACATCCACGCAAATAGAGTCTATGGAAGTCAGGTTCGCTACTGGAGATCTCATGGCTTCGCACGTCGACCACATGTTATAGAACAAGAAGACAGGAACAGCTGAGAAGCCAAATACTCCCAGCCAGGCAACTCCAAGGATATAGGTCAGGAACACAAACTGAAAAGACAAACAGCATTCGTCTATCCCTTGAATGTTCTTGAAAAAGTCAGATTTTTATTGCCACAGGGAAATTGGGAAATCTATTTTTCTCCCCAAAGTACCGAAAAATGTTTTTCCGAGATTGTGGACAATCATAGCACAGAGATAATCACAGATTTTGGGTTACCTCGATTTACCTTGATCATGATTAGCACCACAAAATCATACTGTATGTTTGGTAGCAATTATCCAAATATTTGGGTAATATTTGTTTACTGCTGGATTAAACAGATTGACAATATTTCTAGATTAGATCCTTAAAATGTTGATGGGGTTAGACGGCCAGTTGGACCACTTCTTCTGTTAACCCTCATTTACATGTCGCAATTAGTTCAGGCAGGACGTGATGGACGCAGTCAGATTAAAAGGGTTGTGTTGGTCTGGAGCTCTGCAGCCATGTTGTTCAAGCCAATACCCTGACTTCTTTCAAAAAACAGATGGATGAGATACTTGGACCAGTTAACTGAAACTACCAAATGTGCTAGACGAACCAAATGTCCCTTCTTAGTGACTTATGACTAACAGGAGGAGAAATGTAATTACGCACTAAATCAATCACCCACTTGAAACACCACACTGGAATCTAGCATTCACAGTTCTGTGGGACACTTGAGTGGTGTCCAGGGCTGTACAACATTCACATGAGTAATTACTGACTCCATACCATTCCACTGATGCATCGTCCACAGGCTGTGGTCTTGAATTCACTGTGAAGCTCCTTCACAGCGCTGGTAGTGTAGAAACCCTCTGCCAAGAGAATGATTCCGTACAAGAAGAAAAACGAGGCGATCCCATAAATGATGTACTGCATCAGCTGTACTCTGCAAGCACACACAAAGAAGATGCTTCAGACAATTAATTCATCGGAGCCCAACATCTAAAATCATGTTTAATCCAAAAGTTTTTCATTTTAATTAATGACATTCTGGGATTGGCAATAAAAGTCAGGATTAGATGGGTGATAACCTCCTGAAACAATGGCTCCAATATTTTTTTAACAGATTAGAGGTGTTTGACATCATGTTTGATGATGGATGATACCACTCTTCCTCTTTATGATAACACAGAGGGCTCCCCCTGTAATTTAGTTTTCAATGAACATCTTAGGGGCTTAATAAGCCCCGTTTTAATTAACCGAAACCCTGGGAGAACTGGAAGAATCTCCGAGTCCAAAAATAGACTGAAAAAATGATTTAAAAAAAACAAAAAGGTGCTTCAAACTCACACATCGGTTAAGGTCGCATGATCCGTAGTGACCTTAGAGAAGTGAGTCTCCAGGATAGTGACCGTCCCAGTCAGTGCCACATGGCCACAGCCGCAGAACAAAGCCACCCCCGAGAAGCACAGGATAGTGGCGACCAGGGACGCGTACGGGACTCCTCCCAGGCACTTAATGCAGCACTCAAAACAACCTGTGGAGATGACAGAGGGAGGCAAAAAGACGAGTCTGTTCAGCCACGCTGTGAAGCTCCATCCGGCTCAGAGGTACTTTTGTGCCACAACATCTCTCGGAGCTCACAGTCGCCAATGCCACAAGGCGCTCAGTATGAATGCAAGAGATCTCAGGCCCAGCAGCGGCTGAGAAGGGTTGGGGCTTCAGAATGTTCATTTAGTCTTAATCTGACTCTTGCAAACATGAAGGAATACGTTTCACATGTTGAGCGGCAACTACTGGAAGCTTGAATAACTAGTTTTACATTAAGCTGATGTCAACCCATTTTATCTTGAATTAAACTAATAACAGAAGAACAAATTAAGTATTTAAATGCACCACTAGATTTGAAAACTTGTAGAAAACTACCAGGAAAACAAAATCACAGAAATATTTACAAGTTAGCTCTATTACCCTAGCTTTAAAAGCACAACATTGAAGCAGTTTCTGATGACAGCGTTAAAAATGCCTACAGTCGCATACATTATTTTAATGTTTCCATGGAAACCTCTAGCTGAACATTACAGTTAAAAGCATTTCTTCAAGCACAAAGGCTTCTATAAAAAGACCACCTTTTCTTTTAATTCTGAAATTACTGTACACTCTAAAACATATACATTAAATCATACAAATTTGTGCTATTTCTTTGTGCTGTACTGTATTTTTATCATCTGTTACAGAAAATAAAAAGAATACTTAGGGATACTCCCTAAGATAAAGTAAATTTAATTTTGCAAAAGCCAAGCCAGCACTTCAGCAAGGACTTCATCAGACCATTGATGGCATGATCTCTCTGTGCCTGCACCTCATTGATGTTTTGGTGTTCGTACCTCTTTTAATGAATAATCTGCTGAACAGTACTGTTGTGAATACAGACAGAAGAGAGGCTCCACAGCCAAAATGTTGGATTTCTTTTCTTCTCTTTTCAGCATGGAATAAACCTTTACTTGTTCCTTTGGAACCAAATATGTTGATTTCTCTCGAGACACAGACAGTTCATCTTTTAAACATAGAGCAGGACCATCTGAAATAGTGATCTGATCCTAGCAAAAGCCATGGTCATTTGGAGCACAGTCTAGCCTAAAACCTAGGCTGCTGCTACTTTTTTCTTTTTATAACTTCTGCTACATTTTTCAAAATAAAACATGACTTTAAAAAGAGCTGGTTATCATCCATTTAAAAAAAGATTTCAGTGGCGACCAACGATTGCTGAGACTGCCACATGTGGGTGTGATTCCCACATGAGTCAGCAGTGTCTTTTTTAATGCATGAGCAGCATAGAGCTGTGGTAAGGGCACTGACCTTGTAACTGGAAGGCTGTGGGTGAGACCCTTCTCTTGAGATTGCTCCAGAAACACAAAAAGCCCTGCTATATAATTGGAAACTCCTGACTATCACTGTTAATAAAAAGGTGTGCTCATCTGGATTGTATGGTTAAAGGTTCTCTTATTTTTATTAATAGTATGTATCAGAGCATCTTAGGTATACCAGTGCTTATATGAAAGTCACTTTGAGAAACAGGGGAAACTCTGACAAAAGTAATAATGTGGCAACATCTAGTGTGAAATATTTTCAGGTGCTTCATAGCAATGCTATTGAGCATATTGTGTTTGTACAAAAAGGTATTCACACTCTACACTGAAGAAGATGCTTGATGTTGCATGAGTTCCAATTTTCCCTTTATTTTTGCAGGTACATTGTACAGTGGAGTCTGGCAAAATACCACCATGATACATGTTTAAAACAGAAGCTGTCTAAACAAAAGACAAAATAGGCAAAAAACTGCCCATATGGGCTTCTGCAGTTATGCCTGGAGCTCTTCCATATGAAAACTAGCCATTCATCAACACCATTAGAGTGCTTTAATGGGTAGCAGACGTGCAAGAGCAATGCGAGCAAGCTGGCCGATAAAGGAAATCAATGACAATTCATTACAGCAGAATTATGTTATTAAAGTGACCTAGTATGAACAGCCATCTCCATGACTGTAAATCTGACATACAGGGCCAGACTCCATGAAAGATAAATACAGGTTACATCAAGATAAATGCACCAAGCAATCTGTCCAGGTATTTATTTTAAAGAAACACAATATAAAAAAACCCACAATATTAATGTCTCTCTGAAGGCAACACTGTAAACCCCCTCATGAATGAAAAAGCTTACATTAACCAGACAGAACTGCTAATTATGTAGAACTCAGTTTTGGAAAAGGAATGGTTTGGGCCCCACTTATAATTATCATTATTATTTTTCCTCTTTTCTATAAAAGGAGTTATGGATCTACTGTAAACACTAGCACTTATAAGTAGAGATTTCTTCCATTAGTCTATTGAAACGCAGCCTGCCAGCTCTTCCCCACAACTCAAGTTGACAGAGCGGTGAGGAAAACTGGAATCTGCACGAAGCCTTTTCACAGAGGGCTAGACTCCGAACCTCTCTTCAGCAAAAACACAAATGGTACCTGTCAATTACACGGTCACATCAGACAGCTGCTTCTGAATAAGCTCTTGGTAGCCCACAAATACATCTAAAAGTAAAACTAAATAAGTCATTTGAAATTTTTCTTCTTCACCACTCGAAAAATATTATTTGGAAATATACAGTACGTCTCATGGCACTTGACTATGTTTCTATTAAATTATATATTTGTCATGTGAACAACAGTCTCTCTCAGCGATGGGATAACACAATACTTACAGAATATTATTGCATTATGTTACCAAAAGGGACATAAAAACTTTCTAGAATGCTCATTCTAAGAAATGAGTCTTTTAATGAAAAATGTTTGAATCTTCCAACAAAAACAATGCATGAAGACTGCATCCATACAGTATTATCAGTTGTGTAGAGCAACTGTTAAATACACAAGTATAACTACTACGCAGGAATGGAAGGATTGAAAATCCTTTTGTTCTGCTGCACTTTCTTCACTGAAACAAATTAAAAATAGACATGTTGGTTATAGCATAAACCCTTCCAACGGTTATTTTGTCAGAAAGTTCACTATAGCTCTTTGTGAAGTGCAGTGAAATAAAAACATTTTTGTCCTCAGGCTTGTGAATAACGGTTGCCATGGTTGCATGTTACCAACAGTCCAGTGAATCTGCCTACAGCTGACTCCATTACTAAGCCCCAGATTTTACACACTCAATCAGGGCCAGGTCAGGGAACATAGAGCTTCAGACTCAAACTTAAGGAAGAGAAAAGCAATCCTCAAAGATCTTCCAGCTAGACAATTAATTAAAACTTATTTCATTAGTCATACATCAGAAGTCGACTCTTCTGTGTCCACAAATCAGACTTTTGCTCTGTGAAATGGCATTCCCCTGCCAGTCTTGGCCCAAATAGTCATCACTTAGACCGAGCAGGAGTAACGGCACTTTGGTTAACATGTTATTGGAAAATTCCAAACAAAGTAGATCCATCTGGTTTCCAGAGCAACAAATGTTATTCTTGTAACAAATTAAAACCCGGCAGAGGCAGAGTTGGAGCTTCAGAAACAGGGGCAAAAAACCCCAGAGAACCTCTTCACATCTGATGAAGGAAAGCGCAATGGTAAACATAATATTAATGCTACTTAAAAGCCAATAGGTTTTCCAGTTATTGTCTGGCATCTGTCTAGAAAAAAAAAAGACTATCCACTTTTCCTGACTGAAACAGTACATTTGTGTTACACAAAGGTCCACATGTATAACAGCTCTGCATGCGCCAATGTGCCTGACTCCCTGGTAAACCAGTTTCCTCAAAAGAACAACAATGTATTTTTTCCCCGTAAGGGAAGCAGCTGGTTATCATCCATTTTCTTCAGATTAGTTCAACAATGCAGTTTTGCGATATTGTTTAGCTCCTTTTACCTGGTCTTCCTTTTCCTTCCTATCTCAATACTTCAACAACACTGCAAACTTATAAAAAGTACATTAGGAAAAAAATACATACATTCACTCTTCATTGTGATGTAGATTAAAGTAAATACAGATTGTAGATAAATCAAGTTGTGAACAATGAGAATAGCCACTAATTTCATGTAAATATTGTGTACCAGGCTTGAGGAGGTACGAGGTATCTAGTAATCACACAACCTAACAAGGCATATTCTGTACCTGGATTTGAGCAATGCAAGTATCATTTGATACTAAGGCTAATTTTTGTACTTGTCAGACATACCTTTTTTCTCAGTATAAATATACCACTTAAAAATAAAATAGCCTTGAACACCTACGTTCATCACAGTCATTATATTTCTGTTTAATTGTTCTTGAAACTGCAAATGACGACAGTTTACCAGTCAGGACTCCCTGGGGGGGCTCTCTAAGTAAAACCTCCTTTCATTTAAAACTCCCTCAGCTCTACTTCATACCCACAAATTGAATGATAAAGTAAGAGGCCCGATTGTCCTACTTCTGTCAGACAGAGATGAAGGTCAGGGAACAATGTCATTGTGTGCTAGTAGTGTAATTGGGAACACTTCCCAGTAAACAATGCACTCTAAAACATTTCTAAAGCAGCTTTTACAAACCATCGCTAAAATCAATGGTGTCCCCACTTGGTTAGCTGTTCTAAACAATAATGGCCTAACTAATGTGCCAGTCTATTTTTAACAGGCAGACACTGCTTGTGCTCTAGGTTAGAAACCACATCAGCAGAAGACTCTACATCTTGAAAGAGCACTTCTACCATTCGTTGAAGTCTGGACATGGCGTTATAGCTTTGTCGTACCCTTGTAAGGAGTGTGATAAAAATCTTGTTTTTAAGCTACCAGAGGCACACGGTGGATGTGAAACAATGCCAACAGTCTATTCAATTAAACTTTATTTTACACATAAGATCTTGTACCTCTCATGATGTGTTTTTTGTGATCGTTTTTCTCATGATAGCTCAGTAAGTCTCTTTTTTTTAAAGCATGTTTTCACAGCTAGGAGAAGCACGTCTTACCCAGAAAGCAAGATGTACATTCATTCAGCTAAAACAAAATTATGT